ATCGTTCTAGTATACTAATAGACAGATGCTCTATAGAGTTTTACTAACTTCTAGGAACAGCTAAGGCTATCCTAGATTACTAGAATCTTCCAGACTCCCTTAGTTACTAATTTAATAACCGATCTAGAAGTCCTAACTAATTTATAACTAAATTAAAGGCCTAGAGATTAGCTAGGAATTCGTATTTCGAGGGACAACTCCTATAGGTTTAATCGTCTTCAAATATAACTAGTAATAATCTTCTAGAGCTTTAGTTACGAGATAAAAACTAGAGGTATATAGTAGTACGCGTAAGGTATTATAGCTACGTAGAATATTCTAAGACCTTAATAGCTAATCTAATATAGAGAAGAATATCGGCTAGCTAGCTACATAAGTAGTTTAAATACTATCTACTTTATAACTTCCGATACTTTCTATAACTTCCGCTCGACTATATATTATACTTTCGAATAACGATAATTCTCTTTACGCTCGATTAGTAATGCCTGCTTTTATCCTCTTCGATAGCCGAATGTCTAGATATGTTGTTAGTAGTAGCTAGTAAACTTTATTTTACGACTTATACTAATAACTGTACTACTATATATAAGGTAGAGCAGCCCTAGTTTTATAGGTACTTATACTATAGTATAGGAGATAGAGAATCTAGTATAATTGAGAGATATTTCTAAAGTTACAACTCTTGCTTGCTATTTATCTACGCCCGGTTTGGTATATAAATTTAAAAAGCTTACTTTCAACAACTGCGATATTTCTATCTAGCTTAAGAACAGTAGCATAGAGCTTTATACTAAAAATCTGTCTAAAGCTCTGAAAACCAATACTTCTAGAGAAGAATGTTTTTATAAACTAGAAGTTTCTAAATATATAACGAATTAGCTTTTAGATAAGGCATCTAAAGTCTAAAAAGCTCTAGTTATAGACTCTAGAGACAAGTCTACAATTTAGTACAAACGGCTAGACTATTTTAGCCCTTATCCCTTAGAGGAGATAGTTTAAAGATATTCTACTAAGGAATATTAGGTATATATTGAGTCTGAATAAACCGAGAAATAAGCTCTCTTTTGTTTAGAGATACGATTAAAATTCTTAAATAAAAACTATAGGAGTAGAAAAACATCTAGAAAGATCTCTATTTATATAAAAGGTACTAGCTCTATAGAAGATACTATTTGATAAATATTATTTCATAGATACTCCTAAAGGTAATTAAATTCTTCTATAGTTATACTAAGATATTAACTAAAGATATACCTTGCTAATAGCGTTTTTCAGAATTCTATTATTAGACCTTTTTACTTCCCTAGAGATAGAAAACCCCCTTAAATCTTAACGTTCTTAAGGTACTCCTCGGTAGGTATATAATTAGGAGTTAGTAAGATAATATCGAACAATATTATTTCTCTGCTCTATATAGTTTATAGTACCTAAATAATAGAAACTTAAGACTACTAGTCGGCGCGTAAATCTTATATAAACTATCTATAGCTACCTACAGATTCGGTAATATCGACCTTTTAGAGGTCGGATAGCTTATTTCTTTTAGGACAAGGATTTCTATTATTTATATAGTTTTATCTATTCTCTAAGCCTTCCTAGTAAACTAGCTACTAAGCCCTTAATAAATATATCCGCAAAGTAATCTTTAGTTAAAATAAATTTAAGGTCTATAGATTTCTCTAGAACGTTTCTTCTTATTCCTTAGTATCCCGGAATATCTATATAACTCGTCTAAGAGTAACCTTTGAGATTATTCGCTATTACTACAGTCGATTTACTATTAGAATATACGAGATAGTTACCCGTTTTTGTACCGAGTTCTTTATATATCTTTTAGAAAGATACATTTCTAAAACTTTCTCTTAAGGCAATTATTGCATCTTTAGCCTCGTAATTAGATAGGGTACTAAGTTTAGTAATAGATACTTTAAGTCCTAGGGAAAAATGTATAACCCGAAGTAGAACCCCGCGTACTATAGGTAATCCTCTAGTTAGCGTCGCTATACGCGACTAACAGATGTTTTAATTATAAGTTATATACTAATGTAATATTTAAGGCCTTTACTAAAGGGTACGTTTTATTATAATTAGAGGAAAACCTAGATACTACGCCTATAGTATAGCTTAAATCCGGCCTAATCTTAGTCGATTAGTAGATTAATAAACCTACTTTAGTATTACGATCTAAGCAACTTCTATATAAAATCGGATTACGTAACTAGGTTACGTAATTATATCGGACCTCCGATAAGCGGATAAAAGCACCTCCTACGGAAGGACCTCGTTCTTTCTTTCTTTCCTTCTTTAACTCGTTATTAATTTAGATAGCCTCTTAATTAATATTTTAATAGAATAAAGAGTTCCTTAATAACCTACGACGTAATCCCCTACTAATACGACCCGCTAGCAATCGCTATCGCTATTACTATTTCTGCGCTCCTCGTTATACGATAGCGCCTATAAACCCTATATTGTTACGGCCTATATACTAATATACCCTAAACCGCCGACCGTAATAGCTACTACTTTGCTATAGATCTACTAGGCCTACCGACTAATTACGGTAGCGGCTCTAAGTTTACTAATATTACTAATAGAGGAAACCGTTTAGTAAACGGAGTACCTAAGTAGGGACTACCCTAAGGTCTACGACCTAGCCTCGTAGATATCGATAGCGTAATCTAGTAGCCTATCCCTAGTAGTATCTAGGATATTTAGAACCTCTTCCGTAGATTGAGTAATTAAGAGGTAGCCGAAAGCATATTCTGGTATATAACTAAGCTAGACTAGTCCGTAGCTACCCTCCGTAAGTAATACTAGTAAGAGATAGAGATAATCGAACAAATATACTAGGCTTACTATAAGACTAATACCTATTTTAATAAAGAGCTAGCTTAAGCTCGCATAGAAATAGAGCGCTAAAGCTAAGCCGCTTAGCTAGTATAGAATACGTTAACTGTCGTATACTAGTAACGCGACGATCTAGCTTATTAAGTAGTACGCCTATAGAAGTAATAGGCTTCTACTATAGACCTCGCCCGTAGGACTAGTAAATAAGCCGCTCGTACTCGTTGTAATATAGAAGCCCTATTATTACGCGACCCGAATAGACCTATACTAGGAGATAGCTATAAACTACTAATAGACGCCTTTAGTAATCCTAATCAAGTTGCTACTACTAGATATAATTAGATAACCTAAAGTAGAAGAATAAGGAATTTACTTTAGCCTTATACCGACGACTAACTATTATCGATAACCGACTCTACTAGTACTGTATAGAAGCTAACCAGAACGGTACTAAATACAATACTAGTAACGTTACTAATTCGAGCCTTAGTTTCTATACGAACCGTAATAAAAATAGCGCCGGCAGCTCTAATAATAGCTATATACTATAGGGGTACGTAGCTCTATATAATAACTAAGGCTAATTTACCTATACTAGTAATGTGGGTACTACTGCGACTACGACTACTATCCGTAATCTACGCCTACGACTACTATCTATCCGTAATCTACGCAACTCTACTACTTTAGGGTTAGAGTTAGGGTTAGAGTAATTATCGTCGTATTATGTTTAAAGAACGAGATCGCCGTCGCCGCGAAGGCCTATATTGCTTCTATAGTAGTAATTACGTCTACTTCTAGTCCGATACTACTTACTCCGAACTTATTCGCCGTAACTAAACCTATAATAGTAATAACCGTTAAAATATAACTTATGTATCTCCTCCTTTAGCGCTTCCGCTACGTCTACTAACCTATCTCCTACTATCGACGAAATTAATAATAGTACTAAAAAGGAGGGAAAAGTATAGCTCTTAAGTAAAGTCGCGTTTTAGAGCTATTTATAGTAGAGTTACTAATACCGTTACTATAGAAGGAACTATACTACCGGAAATAGTATTGCTAGAAGGATAGATATAAAGATTAGTTTACTCGTATAGTTAGGAAGTATTATACCCGAGGACGATAAATAGTATCTCGTTTTTTATTATTTCTTAACGGCTTATAATAAACCTTCGTCTACGTTAGATATAGAGTAGAATACGAAATACTAATTATTAGCAATAGTTAACTAGCGCTACTATCCTACGCGTCGGTTAGTATTAACTTAGTTCTTATCTCCTCCCTCGCCTCTACTATATCTGTCGCCGCGACTAGCGCCGAGACCTTCGCTACTAGCGCTTATCCGTATAATTAATATAACTATAGCTCTAGTAAGCGTATAGGTCTTCGATTAGTAGACGAAGAAAAAGGACTTATTTATATTCGCCGCGTCTCTACGAGATATAGAGAAAGAAATAACTAAGAAGAATTGTATTAACCCTACCGATAAGGTTCCTTAATATTAATTATTATAGGCGGTTAATAATGTTATTATAGGAAGACGCGAAGAAGTTACTACTATATCGACTAGGATAAAACTATCGTATTAATACTATCGAAGGTAAAGAGACTATATATAGCCTGCTTTACGGTATATCGTATAAGGAACTAGAAGTCCTATATAACTATTTAAAAGACGATCTCGACAAAGGCTTTATTTAGGTATTAATATTATAGTGTTCCTTACCTATACTATTTATTAAGAAACTAGGTAGTAATCTACGCTTCTATATAGACTATAGGAAATTAAATAAGATTACGGTAAAGAATAGATACCCGATCCTTCTTATCTAAGAGATACTCGACCGATTAAGTAAAGTGTAGTATATAGTAAACTCGATATTACCTCGGCCTTTAACTAACTCCGTATCGAACCCGGATACGAGTAGAAAACAGCCTTCCGTACCCGTTACGGCCTCTTCGAATATAAAGTTATACTATTCGGACTATATAACGCGCTATCTACTCTTTCTAGTAATATACTAACAATACCCTCTAACCCTTCCTCGATATATTCTATACTACGTACCTAGATAATATACTAATCTACTCTAATTCTATCGAAGAATACTATTACAACGTTCGTTAAGTAATAGACGCGCTTTTTAAAGCCGGTCTACGCGCTAGTGTGTCGAAGTCGGAGTTTAAAGTAATAGAAGTCAAGTACCTAGGCCTCGTTATTAGTATAGACGGTATCTATATAGACGATAAGAAGGTTGAAGCCGTACGCGACTAACCTATTCCTTAGGAACTAATATTAGGGAGATATAGTCCTTCCTTGGCTTCGTAAACTTCTGCTACCGCTTTATTCGCGACTTCGTATAGATCGTAAAGCCTATAGTTCTATTAACGTATAAGGATACGCCCTTCGTATAGATGATAGCCTACTAAGACTCGTTTAAGTAACTTAATGCCGCCTTTATATCTATACTAGTATTAGCTTATTGTAACCTAGACCTATCTATAATAATTAAGACCGACGCTTCCGATTATATTACTACCGGTACTATATCTTAACTATATACCGACGGTGTATAGAAGCCTATTAGTTACTCCTTAAAGAAGATAACGCCTACTAAGTATAATTACGAGATTTACGATAAAGGACTTCTCGGTATTATTAAGGCCTTGAAATTATAGAGATCCGAATTAAAAGGCTACCGATTTAATAAAGAGTCTATTCGAGTTGTTACCGATTACCGTAACCTATAGTTCTATATATCTACTAAGTAAATTAATTACCGCTAAGCTCGCTAGAGTAAGTTCCTTAGTAACTTTACTTTTAAGATTATATACTGTCCGGATAGATAAGGAGCTAAGCCGGATTCGCTTATATACCGCTCTATCGATCTACTTTTACTAGTTAAAGATCCGTATATTAAATAAAACTACTAACTTATACTAAAACTATATAATCTAGTAGTAGACCTCCGCTTAGCCGTATATAAGATCTTCTTCTTAGGGCTAGGATTAGGGTTAGGGCTACGTAACCCTAAGGTAAATAACTAGAATTCTCGAAGAAATAGACGATTTTACGACTTTTATATTTCTTATAATAGTCGCCCCTAGGGTTAGGATTAGGATTAAGGTCGGAATAAAGCTTATTTTATAAAAGCTCCTGCCGATACTACGTATAATAATATAGTTATATTTACTATAGGATCTCTCGGCGCCGAGACCCTAATTAACGCAGAGAATATTACTAAGCGAATTCGAAATATATAGATTAAAGATACTTTCTTCTAATATATAAAGCGATATCTCTATAGTAGATTAGATCCTTCGAATAATCTCCTTTTATCGCTTTTAGACTAGAAAATTAAAAACGGTCTTCTATTCTATTATAGCTACCTCTATATACTAGAAGCTAAAGAGATAGATAAAGCGCTCTATAGTAACGTTATTTATATATATTATAACTACTCCGCCGCCGGGTACTCTAGTATTATAAAGACGCTCTATCTTATTAGTCGTAGCTACTTCTTACCGCAAATACGCGAAAGATATTAAACGATATATTAGTACTTGCTATACCCTATCTCTAGACTAAATTATCGAGGTAAGTAAATCGTAGGCTCCTTCGACCGCTATTTATATCGACTATTTAGTAGAAGAGTATAACGATAGACTTTATTACTAGCCTATATAATAGCTCTAGTTATAACTCGATCCTCGTTATCGTCGATCGATTAACTAAAATACGTTACCTTATACTATTCGTATATAAGGAAGGATATTTAAACGCGTAAGTAGTCGCTAATATCTCTCTTACTTACGTTTAGAAGCTTTATAGCCTTCTAGATACTATTATATCTAACCGAGGTATATATTTATCTCTAAGTTCTAGAACTACCTATATAAGCGTTTATATATTAAGCGTAACCTATTAACCGCTCGTTATCTATAAACAGATAGTTAGACTAAGCGCTTAAACGAAGTTATAGAAGAATGTTTCTAGTCGTATATAAACTAATACGAATAAGACTACTAGAGCCTATAGCTTCCTATCGCTTAGTTTATAAGAAATAACGTACCTTCCGAGACTATTAGATTATTACCGTTTTAAGCTAGCTATAGCTATAATCCGCGCCTTATAAGTAAGCCTTTAAAGTTACTAGAAGAAGATCTACTACTTAAAAACGATACTTAGGCTTAGATCGATTACCTATAAACTCTCGAGGCCTATTTTATCGAATAGATAAGATACTAATAATCTCGTATAGAAGACTCCGCTAACTAGTACCGTCGACTAGCTCCTACTTACCGCGTTAGCGATAAAGTCTTCTTATCGCTTAAACGAATACGTACTAATAGACTAAACGCTAAGCTCGACGTAAAGAAAGAATTCTAGACTATATAGGACCGTCAAAGTAGTATTACTATATACGTACTAGTTACAATTGCCTAATTCGATACGAGTATACGACGTACTCTATACCTCGCTACTAATACCTGCGCTAAAAGTAGGTATATCTAGCTAGCGATACGAGCTACCTCCGCTATTAGTAATTAACGGTAATAAGTAATAGGAAGTAGAGAAAATATTAGATATAAAGGGTAAACGGAAGAACGTATAATAGAACATAAAGTAGATTAGATATAATAGACCTATATAGGAGGCCGCTAAAGACGTTACTAATACAAAGGAGGTAGTAGAAGAATAATATTACAAGTACCCTAGCAAGCCCCGACTATATATTATTAACTTAGTAATAATAATACGACCGAGTACGCTATTAGTAGTCGCTATAATCGTAATACTTCGTTTACGAGGAAATAATACGCTATAGACGTCGCCTACGAAGGGGGAGAGTACTATTACGATTTTAGCAACTTCTATATAAATCGGACTACGTAACTAGGTTATGTAATTGTATCGGACCTCCGATAAGCGGATAAAAGTACCTCCTACGGAAGGACCTCGTCCTTTCTTTCTTTCCTATTTTAACTCGTTATTAACTTAGATAGCCTCTTAATAAATATTAATATATAGAAGCTTAGTATTCTTAAGACTTTCTTAGACGTATCCCGATATTATTTGGCGTAGAGATAGGATCTAGTCCTTTCCGATTAGAGCTAAATATAAGTATATTATCTACGTAATACATCATTATAAGGCCTATTTTACTATTTATAAACGCCGCGCCGTCTTTATTAAGGAGATTAAAAGTTAGTTTAGTAAGTAAAGATTTCAAGTATAGATACTACTATCTAGGGGTTTTTCCCGCTTTATAAGGTAGTTTTAAAACAATATACTTTAGTCTTATCTTTGTCGAAACCTATAGGCTATATTAAGTATAATTATTTATTAATAGGGCTAAGAGAACGCTAGATCAACGTTCTAGTCTCCGTATTTATTCTCGTAATAGACCGCCTTAGCGAATAAACATTGGTAAGTTTTAAAACGATAGATATTACTCAATGTTTGTTCGTAATTTATATTTTCTATCTAGCTAAATACCTTAATAACCTGAAGGCTTGTCTCTTTAATAATAATATCTTTAGAATCCCGCTTTTCTTTATAAACCTAATAGATACTTACTAATTGCTTTGCTATTAGGCGGTAGATCTGCTAAATTCTAGATTTTTAATATAGTAGAATTCTATATTTTAAATTGTATTAAATCTCGCTAACTAAATTCTATACCCTCTTTAGGAGACGTAGGCTCGTTACTATAAAGATTATTATTAGCTTAAAGAGCTAGCTCGTCTTCTAGACTATTGTCTTCTAGAGTATAGAACAAGGATTTAAAGTTAGACGATTGCCTTCTAGTATTTATTGTTGAAAAGATAATTATATATAATTTTCTAGTTCAAACTATTATCCTCTATAGATAGAGGGTCTTGATTTTTTTCTAGACTAGTAGTACTTCTGTAAAGATTATATTCCCTTTCTTCTAGAACTATAGCATTATCTATATATAGAAGTAGGAGTATTTACATCTGCACCTACTAAGGATTTTTCTTTATTAGTATTAAAGTCCCTAGATTTAGTAATATATTGCCCTATAAGATTTTGACCCCTTAGGTATATATATAGCACGCTATATCTAATAGACTATAGTTTATAAGATCTTTCTATACGAATAGAATCGCTTTGTTAGCTCTAGATTATAAGCTCTTGGGGATATTTAAGACCCTTATAATACGCTAGATATTTCAAGATTCTTAATTTTGTACGCGAATCTGAAATTAAGCCTAGAATATAGTATTCTATTATAGATAAATCCAGCTACTTCTATGCCCTCGCCCTGTATATAGATATTTAAGTATTATAGCCTCGTATACTAAGGCTCTAACTATAAGTAGTAGTCTTATATCTCCTATGCTATAAGCGACTATATAATCGGCGTTACTCTGATTTATAAATTGTCGTAGTAGGCTTATTAGCACAAGTCTATAACTAAGAAATATTACTTAGAATATATCTAGATACGCCGCTATATAAGATAAAAGCGGTATTGCTAGACGAGTCTAACGAAGAGTATACTTATTTTCTACTAGAACTAGAACTGTTATCTACAAATAAATTGTTTACTATAGATAGATTGTCTATAGACTAATAAGGATAGACTTCGGCTAGAAAGTTTCTACGGTCTAGTTCTTTTATTCTAGTAAAGTATACGTCTTCTTTAGTACTACTAAAAGATTTATCTTTATTAAGATAGAACTGCTTTAGGGCTTTAGAAGGGTCTTATAAGAGCACTTATCTTCTATGTAACCGTCCGGTTTGGTATACGTATGCTTCTTTTTAGATACGCTTTTATCTCCCTTCCTTAAATAGCGTATAGTAGGCTCTTTAGGTAATTGAATCCTAGGCTTTCTAGACTTAATTAATAGTACTATTTCTTTCACTTTTTAGACGCCAATTCGCTAGTTAAGCGGCGAATAGCACTACCGTTTTGCTCGACCCTATTAGAGAATTCTATAGTAGTTTAGAATAACCCCTTTAGTAAGAGATAATAAGAGAAAAATCCCCTAATGAATATAGTAATTAAAGAGTATTCTAAGTCTCTTTAGGATTGGTTTTACTCTGTATTTGCATAGTAGAGGATCGTCCTCCGCTAATAGTAGTAGGATTATAAAGGCTTTAGCCTTAATATCTTAGTCTATGTTCTCGTCGGGAATAGCTCGAAAGTAGCGTTTCTCTACTAAAAACGACTGTATCCTTTAGAACGCAAACGTGTAGTTTTATGATTCTTTTAATTAACTAAATATAAGAGATTCTCTAGTAAGAGATATATCTCTTGCTACGTAGCGCCTAGTACTTACTTTTCTTATAACAGGAGAAGATACATCTTCGAAGTCTAGGTTTCCTTAGGTAGTTCTTAGCGGAATTTAGCGATTAAGCTCTTAAAGAAAAACTAGCTTATAATTATAAATGCAAAATATCTTAGATACTAGGGACAGAGCTCTTTTTACCTATCTAAGAAAATAAAGCCTAAAGAGAAACAGTATCTTTAACAGACCTCTTTTAATTCAAGATCTAGAGACGGATAGACATGTAATCTATTATCTACTTAAGGGAAGAAAGGGAATATACAGATGATTTTATCTTAAAGATTAGTAAGTTTGGCTATAGAACAAGTATAGATATCTGATTCTTCAAATATTGTTAGATATCGTTAAGATACTCTTTATCTACGATTAGAATAGCTATTCTATTAATAGTAGCCTCTGGGACAGATATTTAGATACTAGGTTATTTTGAAATACTCGAGATTTCTCGATCTATAGAGTCTATCCTAGACAGTATAACTCGCCTATAGATAGATTATCGATAGGCAGTAGTATCTAAGTTCTTATACCTATACCTATAGGTATTATTATCTCTATCTCTATCTATAGATAGGCCAACGTCTAAATAATCGTATCTATAGTAGATATTCTCCAATAGATATACGGTCGCATATACAACAAGATCTTTAGACTCCGCTTTTATAGTACCTTATAAGGAGGATGGTTGCGATACTATATATACTCTTCTAGAAGTCTCCGTCCTTCTTTCCCTAGCTCTCCGTCCTAAAGCAATAGTATACCGCTAGCTTTTTTTATAGGTCCTTTTAGAAGGACTTTAGTAACTCTAGACGACCGTAGCTCTCCGTCTATCAAAGGTATAGCGTAGTAGGTATTAAATACTCTTTAGGCCTCTCCTTTAAAGCCGGGGTCGATATATCGGTCGGAATAGTTTAAATCGGTTCGTAAATCGATCGAATTCGTTCGTATATCGATTAAATCTTTTCGAGTCATTCGATACTATCGTTAGTTATCGACGGTATATCGTTCGTTTCGTCCGTTTAGGTCGATAGAATCGCGTATTATATAGGCTTATCGAAGCTATAGATAGCTACAGATATAGATATACCTATAGGTATCTATTATCTTTAGTTTCCGAGTTCTTATAAGATACGTAGGCGTTTTTCCTTTTCGAGGATATAATCTATAGTAGAGTAGAACTTATAGAAAGTATTAGAAGTTGTAATAGTAGTCGTAGAGTAGATCGTAGTAAAATTACTTATCTCGCTAATTAGCGATATTCGTCGCCTTTCTATAATAGCTAGTAAAGTCCTAGAATATCCTATATACGCCTAGTAGCTTGTGCGTACTTCTAGGTATCCCTAGTCTATATCTCGCAATTAGAGCTCTAGAACTAACTATTCTAGAAACGATAGAACCTATAAGCTTTTAACTAAGGTACAAGTTTCTAACCGATTTCTAGGCCCTTATTTTAACTTTAACTTAGTTAGGGCTAGATCTTTTATCTAAATTTTAGCTAATAGGTCCTAGAATCTTGTAGCGATCTAAGATTTTCCCCGTCGTTCCCTAAAAATTCTAAAAGCTAATAGAACTGTCTTTATAAGAAACCTCCCTATTAGGGTACTAGCATCGACCGCTACTACTAGTCCTATACGTAATTAGAGAATAAATATACTTAGACTCTTCTCGCTTAGAGTATCTCTTAAATACTTAAATTACTGTTTAATAGAAGCTAGTTATCGCTAACTAGGTCGAGCTAGTACTGCCTAATACTTAATTTAGATACGCTAGATTCGCGTTAGATAAGCGTTAGATTCCAAATTAGGAAGGTGCTAGATGCAAATAGATAATCTATACTAAGACTTAGGTTTTTCGTCTCTACTTATCGTTTATTAGTATCTATTACTACTAGGACTTATAGTAATAAGATGAATTTATAGTTTTAAATAAATCTGTTAATATATTCTTTAAGATCTTTAGACTATATAAAGATAATAGAATAGAAACTATAAGGATCTTTATAGAGGCTATTAGTCCCTTTAATTCTCTAGTTCTTGTCTTTATAGTAATTATATACTACTAGGCTTTCCTAGAGATCTTTAGGTAGAGGTTTCCTATTACTTTTAATAACTATAGATTTCTATTTTTATGAATATATATAGTATAGCAGAAGCTTTTAGCTCTATAAGCCTCTTTTAAAAATCCGGAAGTCGATAAATTAGTAGTATATTATTTAATACTAGTCTATACATTGTTCGAACTAGTTATTTAACTTATATATCGTTTGCTAGTAATTATATATTATTTGTATATCGCCTAATAGCGATTATTTACTAAAAATTAATAGATAGTATACTATAGATTTTAAGTAATTCTAGCTAATATAGGTATAGTACTATTCTTTAAAGTAGCTACGTCTATATAGAACGCTAATAGGGGCCGCTAGCGGACCGTTAATTGCTAAACCAATTTTAGCTAATACTTAGTTAGGTACTCCTTATTTCGTATAATAGCTTTATAGCGCTTACGTATAGAATCTATTGTATTTTTAAGTACGTAGTCTAGCCGAGGTCGCTAAGGTATATAGCTATATATATGCCTATACTAGGCCTCCTACTAGTGCTTATAGGGCAGGTATTTAGGTATCGATAATATAGAGGTATTAGATTCTTGCGATATAGTTAGCTTACTTGAAGAAACTAGTAAGGTTTAAAGTAAGGTTTTTAAACGGTTTAGGCACCCGCGTTTTATGCCTATAGAGCCGCTTCTAGTATGTTCTATCTATTACGTTAGTCAATCCCCTACGGTATATACTAGTTAGTATACGGACGTTATACGGACGTAGCTACTTTAAAAAATAGCACTATACTAGTAATAGGTTTTCTAGATTTTAAGTAATCTAGATAAATAGAAATAAGTAATAGTTATTGTAAAGGAAAAAATTAATTAGAGAATCTAGTTAGTATAGTTAGTATAGTAGAGTTATAGGCGACGGGGCCCTCGAGGTATAATAGCCTAGTAAGGCTAACTATCCGACGTCGCGAAAGCAAGTTTACGCAAAACTTCTTAAGTAGAATAGTCTATCTAGCTTCTAATATTAAAACATCCTCCGCGTCTGTAGTCGCATAGCTATTCACGCCGTTGCTGAGGAAAGCATTACCACCAGCTGCGCTAACATCATCCATTTGCCGAACCGCCCAAAGCAGAACGTATCTCTCTTCGCTTGTCTTTTCTAGTCGCTGATAATGTCGTTCGGTGTATGCTTTCAGCGCGTCATTGACGTCTTTCACACTCTCCTTGCTCTTCATCTTGTCCTGGGCAGTAAGCTGCGCCATGGCGGCACTCAACTCGTCTTCCTCCTCTTGCGGCACGGCAGCCTTTCGTCGTCGGTTGAGATGAAGCAGCTTCTCTTTTGGGAAGATGTGGTACATCGCGGCGAGGACACGTTGAGCGACATGTGCAGTGCGGCCGTTGGAATTCCAGTCTCTGGTGCGGCGGTAAAGATTCCACAATTGAGTGTCGCTCAAAGAGGCAAGGACCTCGTCCACCTCATTGCGACCGGTGAAACTTCCCGAGTCTGGTGTGGCAGTATCGACCACAGAGCTGAATAGATCGAGTAGCCGTTTCGGATGGTTGAGCTGTAGCGCAAGAACGATCGCTTCGCGATAGTTGCTTGCTCGGATCGCATTCTGAAGCTCTTGATCTTGCTTAATACGCTGTGTCGCAACCGTGGTGGCGGCGAGGGCGGTGGCGGTCGTTGTATCGGTCCAAAATGTAAGCGTGCTGTCTGCAGACCCAGAGACAAGCTCAAGCTGCAAGGTGTTGGTAGGATCATCGGCCTCTTCTTTGTCTGCCTTCAGCACAAGAGTCTTGTCCTGATTTGCGTTCAGTATTGACGCTGGCTTGACTGCCAAAGCCCATACACGATCAATGTGGTTGTCGAGAGTCGCAGCACATTCCGAGGTCTGCGCATCCCACACCTTCACCAACCCATCACCTGCCGCACTTACCACTTGAACTCCACAACCAATGCTACCGCCCTTCTTGGGTGGAGGGAGCCAAACGACCTTCAGGATACTATTGATGTGACCCTCAAATGTTCGTAAGCAGCTGTAATCAGCCAAGCTCCAAATCTTGACTGTCTTGTCTCCGCTTCCAGTCAGGACCATGCCTTTGGCACTGCTAGCATTGCCGCTGTCGCCAGTCGTCAATGACGGCATGCCAGGAGGCGAGAACGCAACGGTCCAGACCCCGCGCTTGTGGCCTCTCAAGACACCAATGGCCTCACCTGTGTCAACATCCCATATCTTTACTGTTCGATCTTGTGAAGCAGAAGCGAAGAGCGGATGCGACGTCGAATACGAGGTCTCGATTGCGTTGATGTCCTTGTCATGCGCTTTGTGAGTGTAAGCCGCTCGTGAAGTGCTCACATTCCATTTCTTGATAGTCTTGTCTTGGCTGCCGGTGACGAGGTATTTCGGCGGGTGTTCGAGAGGATGGTCGTATTCCTTTGACCCTACTGCAGGAGAGGCATTGGGTAATGCTACCGCTCCGATGCTCTCAGCGTGTCCAGTAAAGGTCGCATGGCAAGTGTATGAGCCGTTCTCAACATCAAGTCGCCAAAGCTTCGCGGTGTTATCCTTGGCACCAGTAGCAAGCCAGCAGCCTGACCAGTCGGTGTCAATGGTGATGATGATATCCGAATGTCCTTTCAGGAGAGCGACGTCTCCGCCAAAATACGGAGAGTCTGCACTCGGAGACAATTTCGTGTCCACAGAGATGATTCGTATGTCTTCGAGATTGGTGGCTAGCGCAAGGTGATTGCGGCTGCGACCGATGTATGCCAAATCGATGACCTCGTCGTGAGTCCCACTAATCCGTCGCAGTATCGGTAAAGGAGGTATTCGCTGTGAAGCTGATGCATGTACTAGCGTTTCCAGTGATCTGAGCACTAAAGTTTGATCCGCGTGCACAGTGAGCAGAAAAGAAAGCTGCGAATGATGCTGGACATCAACGATGCCCTCGATCTCAGCGCCCTCTTCCTGATCCTCTGACAACTCGGCTCCTGTCTGCACGTTCCAAATGCGCAATCTCGCACGCTCGCCACCGGTATAGATGAAGCGTCCCCCGTGAACAAAGCCGGAGCTCTCGACAATCTCAAGCACGGGAATCGTTGCTGCTTGCTGCCAAGTTTTCGAATCCCACAAAATCACAGTCTTGTCTCTGCTTGCAGATAGCAGCAACTTCTGCTCGGGGGAGTAATGCAACGAGCGCACCACACTCGCGTGCGACTCCAGCATTGCCACGCCTCTCCCTGTATGGAGATTCCATATCCTCACACGTCCGTCTTCTCCGCCTGAAGCAAGTCTGAATCCCGAAGTCTCCTCATTCTGCATCTCTTGTGGTTCATCATCCCGCTGTCTGCTCTTTCGCTTCTTGCTCTTCACAGACTTTGTCTCCTCTTCCGAGTCGGAGTGAAAGAAACAAAGTGCCGAGACAACACCACTATGACCGCGGAATGTGTGGGTCACGAAGCCTGCGCGAATGTCCCAGACTTTCACCACGCCATCTGCACCTCCGGTCGCGAGCAAAGAGCTGGTTGAATGTACAGCGAGCGTGACTACAGGTGTGGTGTGCGGCTTGACGGTCCGCACTAGCTTAGCATCGATCTCGTGGTGCAGCGCAGAATGCTGTAAGGCATATATTCGCATGGAAAGCGATCGCGAGCATAGTACAAGGTGCGATGCGTCGGGCGTGAGGATCAGAGTGGTGAGGGCGTCGCCGTCCTGATCACTTGTGTCAACAGTCAGTCGCAAGCCTTGTGCAGAAGGAGCAGACACTCACGCCCTCTATTCTCGCCAAATGTGCTCCAGTGTTGAGGTCTGTGAGGAGTGCTTCCTCGCCTAATGTTGATGCGAGTATGCGGCCATTTTGGCTGAGTGAGACCGCACCACCAGTATATATGGGCTGTATGACTCTGGTCACATCGAAAGTGGTCTTCGTCTCCGCCTTGTAGGCCATTTTGCTGCTCCGCTGGTATTACCAGCGCTCTAACGATCCAGGCAGGCAATGGACGCTACTGTCGCATTCGAGCTGTGCCCTGCGGAACTGGCCCCGAGGTTGGCAGGTTTCAGTATGCTGGTCGCAATGCTCTCAGAAAGCCTCAGCAGCGATCTCGAATTCGGGATATGGCACACAGCGAGGGTTGTCGAGGGCAGTAGGAACTTTCATGTGCAACTTCCCACCGACTTTTTTTGGCGGCGCCGGCGTTGAGGTTTCGCCGATCACCGAAGTTGCAGCTCTACGCGCACGTCGCTCTTGCCTGGCGTCAAGCTCCATCAACTCGGCTGTTTGTTCTATCCAGATCACCCTCCTACCGATACATCAACACATCAGCAACCATGTAGGGCAATTCCACCTCACACCGCAGTGCCGTTACTAACGATGCTTCTAGGGAGGTACTTCTGGGAATCACGGGCAAGGACTTCACCATCATCGCCGCCTCCAAAGCCGCCATGCGAGGCGCGACCATCCTCAAGGCCTCAGACGACAAGACCCGCCGACTCAACGACCACACTTTGATGGCATTCAGCGGTGAAGCAGGAGACACGAGTATATCGAGCCTAGGCAATCCTGCGCATCTGCAGACTGACGCATGAATAGTCCAATTCGCCGAGTATGTCCAAGCCAACGTAGCCCTCTACTCCATGCGCAACGGCAGCGACCTCACTCCAACCGAGACATCCTCTTTCGTTCGCAGCGAGCTTGCCAAGTCTCTCCGATCACGATCACCGTATACCGTCAATCTCCTGCTCGGTGGCTACGACGTGCACGCCAACAAGCCGCAGCTCTTCTGGATCGACTACCTGGCATCCTGCGCCCCCGTCCCGTACGCCGCCCATGGTTATGCACAATACTACTGCCTATCGACGCTTGACAAGCATCACCATCCAGATATCACGTTCGAGCAGGGTATGAAGATCTTGAGGATGTGCACGGATGAGCTGCAGCGGCGGTTACCGATTGACTTCAAGGGCGTGCTGGTGAAGGTGGTGGATAAGGATGGTATAAGAGAGGTTGAATATGATACCAGCAAGCAGGTTCTGGCGCCTTGAGAAGGGCTTGGGCATCATAGGAAAAGGGCGAGCGCTCCAGATGGTGTTTCGGGAGTTCGGGACAGAAGATAGCAGCGACGCAGCTGTAAAATGATACAATTGTAAATTACGGTGAGAAGGCTGTCACCGCTGATGACCATGTGCTGGACCATGTATTGGCCTTTCAAGCTCCTCGCAGACAAAGCCGCCTGGCGCATACAGCTGCGCTTTGCAGAGATGACGCGATGTCAATTCGCCTCGCCGTACGACTCCTACTGACAGTTTGCTTGTACAGCATAGTTGCGCTGCTCATGCGATTCACCGAGCAAGATAGTACGGCTGGCATGCATTCGCCATGTCATGCTCTTGCCTTGCATGCGCTGCTGTTGCCTGCCTGCGCCTGCCTAAGAAGTTCACCTTGTTCTCGGCACTCACTTCAATCTCACGTGCGAAGAACAACTTTTGCAATTGATGCCAGCTGCCTCGAGACCACGACATGCACACTCAACTTGCGATTGCGCCCGAGGCTAACAACAGCAACCCGATGGCTACGGCTACGACAACACCGTACTGGCAACTCGAGAAGGAGTACTACACCATCGCTGACAATGCCGACGTCGCCTTGCGCATCATCGAACACTCAGCAGTCACCACCACCGAAAATGGCTTCCCATTGACAGTGAAGACACCGACCAAGGTACACGCTCTACGCGCATCCCCGAGCCGTACACGCGCTAATGTTGTCCAGCTGCACGAGTTCAAGGTCCACCGTGCAACCCTCTCGCAGGCAAGCTCCTTCTTTGGCCAGCTCCTCAACCGCACTCCAGATACGTTCGCCGAAGCAACCTCCGACCAGAACGTCATCGACGTGGCCGAAGATGATGGTGCAGCTTCCGTGCACGCCATCGGACTCTGGTTCAAGATCGTGCATGACAAAGCAGCTTCGGACACTCACGAGCTTAGCATCGAAGGCGTATGGCGCGCTGTCTCAGTCGCGCAAAAGTACGGCTTCTCCACATCCTCAGAATCGGCCACTGCCTGGTTCGACGAGTGGTATAAGAAGCTCGCAAGCCTGGTCAAGGCTGGCTACAAGCATTATACCATGCTCCTTTATCCCGCCTTCATTTTCGGCCATCGCGGCGCCTTCGCACAAGCTACCAAGTACCTTGTCTACCACAATACAGGAAGCTACATTCCTGACCACCAACCGAGGGAGTTCATCCTCGAGCCACCAGCGAACGCCCCTAGTCTCCATATGCCTCAGCACATCATGCACCAGATCAACGCTGCTAGGGCCAGACTAAAGACGATCCTCCATCGCGCTCTCTACACTCCAATTGACCGCCTGCTGAAGGAAGCTCGCTGCAACTGCGCGCCCACAATCCTGTACAACTACGAGAGCAGTCTGGCTCGCACTGGAGTCTGGCCTTTGGAATCGAAGCTGATGAGTGATTCTGTTATTAGTGCGATCCATGACCTCCGGGCGTACGACGGCAAGCAGTGGCAGATCCAGACCTGTGGCAGTCTAGCATGCACCTTCGACTTCGACAAAATTGTGATTACTGCCCGAGAAGAGATTGGCAACTACTTCACTGGACTATGCTTGGATTGCATGACAGCCTCCAAGGGTGCCGATGCTGATGAGAAGTACTGGTCTCACAGCAAGCCTGGTGTCAATTGGGACCAAGGCTGCGCAGTGAGTCATGGTCAGCCATCTTGGTACTTCTCATTCATGGGACCACGCGAGGACATGACGGAGTGGGTCAAAGCACCAAAAGCGAAGCCGCTCAAAGACCGCCGCGAAGCGCACACAGATAGCAATAGGGAGATTCAGGCGAATGTTGCGCATCATGGACATGGTCATCCTCAGAGAGGCGGAAACGGACACAAGCAGGGAGTCCACCCATTCCAGCGCCAGGAGTACCACGAGCCAGGACAAAATGGCACTGCTGAACAAGATTACATGCAGTCGCTTCAGCATCAGGATGAGGGCCAGCAAAGGTCTAGCCAAATGAAAGAGTACCACCAGTCTCAGCAGTCCTTCGGTCGTCGCGCACCCGGACAGTACCATCAGCGCCGTGGTCGAGGAGGAAACAACAATGACAACTTCTTTGCTCCCAGTCGCTACGGCAATCGACGTGGTAGCGGTCGAAGCATGATGACTCGCGATATGCGCTGTGAGACCGACCGTGAAGGCGGCGAACCCGAGGGCGAGAGCAAAAGGGAGGAGTCCGATCCTGCAAACGCTGCCGCGGAGCCTGCCGAGAAGCCTGCCCAGGTCAAGGTGCCAGAGATTAAAGTCGAAGTAGCTGATCTCAAGATCTCTGGTGATAATGCGAAGGTCGAGGCATAATCTGGGAAAATAGTTTCTACGAACTAATGGACTGGGAAAGAGCCACGACAGGGCATACATGGTGACATTTTGTGACCATGCGGGAGTTTTGGCACAGCGGCATAGGAGTAGCAGAGCAGAGCAGTTGCTGCGCGACGATTCTCCGAGAAGTCGTCGCCGCAGCGAATGCTTTTCAGATGTTCTTTGGCCGAGGATCTCAGATTTGGCTCCATTGCTGTAGAACTAACTCTTCAGCCCGGTACCCAGGTGCCATGAACAAGGTCGATCATTCGAGTCTCCTGCTTCAGATCGGGAATTTCCGTCTTTACAGTAATCCCCAGATTCCTTCTATCTTATTTTCACTTTTCGAGTCTTCGAATTTTGCCTTGTTTGCTTTAATGTGGATGTTGATCTTGCAATCTGACTGGATATGTGTTTTGGCCAGAAGCGTTGATGAAAGCCCTTGAGATGACGATGGGGTTTGTTTGTTTTGGTAAGCGCCCAGCTTTGATGTCGAATGATTGGCAAATTACCATCTTTACGTGAATGCCCAACATCCAAGCATATCTGCTTCGGAAATTTTGGGGTTCGCTTGCTTTGCTTTTTCAACAACAGCGTCGGACTCCAAATTCTCGACTTCTACGAAAACTTTGCACCCTGCTTTGATATCGGCTTTGGCGAGGAGCATCGTTGATGGCCATAGGGATAAAGGCTCCTTAGATTTTCGTGACCGCCCAGTTCTGACATCTGTTACGCGGATTGTGCGCGAGAGAATGACTTGTGATTCTTTGACGTAGAACAGTTGGCTCATGTCCCAACGTAGTTGTTTGATTGTTGTTGTTGATGGGTAAATCACCCATGCGAACGATTGCATTGTGGTGGTGTTGTGAATTATGATCGCCGCGCGGGAGTTGTTCGATGAGTTCGCGGTAAGCGAGAGCTCGAGGACTCGATCCATAATTGGAAAGAGTGTTGCAAGTAGTTTCGCAGTGATTTGGTTGATTTTCGCAATGCTCGGATTGATTTAGCCTTACAGAAGCGATAAGAGCAGTGCTTTGTTGACTTTGCCGTGCCGTGACTGATGTTGCAGTGCTCGCGTGCTTCTTGTTTGTCTTTTGATCGCTTGAGACTTGTTTGGCTTTGGTAGTCTGTGGCTGGTGATTTTTGACGTTGTTGTTGGCGAGAGAGAAAATGTGGAGGACGCGAGAGCAAATAGGGGTAATTTACCTGGATGAGTTTCGGCTTTGCTCAGCGACTATCGCTTTAATTTGTATGGCGACCATCGTAGGGCAGCAGGTGCTGGTAGAGAGCTCTTAGAGTTTGATATTATGAGTTCAAAGCTACATGCTGTACCAAATCTTGGCGCAGCCTGTCTTGTCCTCACGGAAGCTGTGAATGGTCGGCACTCATTGCACCCTTGTCACTTGCAACTCGCCATTTCCGACATCACCCTCAAGCCTGACGAACTCGTTGGCCTTCTTGGACCATTTGGTGCTCTCGTAGGGTGCTGTGAAGATACTCATTCGCAGGACAGTCGAGTCGTTCATTTTTGTGTCGACGCGTGACCAGAGCCAGCGACCAAAAGACCAGTTGAGAATATATCGCATTCGACGGGCCTCACTGTCGGTACTTCCTGTGTTTGCGTTCTGGGGCACCGTTGACAGGTAACACACTGCTTTTATGCGGTATACCTCGTCTTTGGGTGCAGCTTTGAGCAGAGACTCCAGCGTAGCCAAGTCGACGCAGGCCGGAGTGCCATCCTTCGATAGAAGAGTCACCGAGACGCACTCTACCTCCGACGTGTGCTTTTCGGTATCGTCGTGTTCATGATCGTGGTTATGATCGTGGCTGTGAGTGTCTTCCACTAGCCAAGGTCGGGCAAGCTTTGCATCGAAGCCGAAGAGAAGATCTTTCGCCAAGCACCCTTTGTCGCTCTTGACTTGTGGCGTGTCTACGTCCAGATCTCCAAGCTTGTCAAGGAAGTTGTCGTAGTCTCGTTCTGACAGGGCCTCCCACTTGTTGATGACAATCATATCGGTCTGCTTTGCCTGGAGTTTGGCGGTGAATGACTTGCTGGCGTATCCAGCCCAGTTCTCGGCATCGATGACACTGATAATACCATCGAGCTCATATCTCCCCGTTGCGTCGCTCAGCCGCTTGATTTCAAGAACCAGCTTCAGCGGCTCTGCACTTCCAGAGGTCTCGATGATGATTCGATCGGGCTTGACGCGAGTATCAAGGTCTTTGAGTGCTTCGCCGATCTGTCCGATATTCACGCAACAGATGCAGTCTCCAAGCAGCTCTTGTGTGGCGGCCATACTTGCGGAGTCGGCCAGCTGAGAGTCTACAGCTACATCGCCAATCTCATTTTTGATCATAGCGAGCTTGTAGTCCGGATTCTGCTTTCGCAATTGCGGGATAAGATTGAGGATCAGAGTGGTCTTGCCGCACCCCGTGAAGCCGGTCAAGATGGTTATGGGTGTTCTTGAGGCAGAGGCCTTGACTTCGGGGTTGGTCATGATGGCAGGGTGCGACGCACTATGGCTTCGTGAATGTGTCGAGCATAATTGGCTTTCGCACGGCAGCACAGTTGATGTTGTCGGCGATGCCGTATTCTGTATAGTCGGTCTGCCGACTCTTGGCATTTCTTCGCGCTATACTTCTACAGAGAGCTTCACCGACGCCGCCTCCCACTTCTCATCGCAGCAGCACTCACAGCCACTTTTGGCTGCGAGAGCCATGGGTCCTGGATCCCCTGTAATAACTCGTACCTGCTCGGCGTTCGTCGGCAAAACAGGGAACAACCCCTACAGTGTCCACTTAGTTAGCATGTAGAAGCCGCTCTATAGTCGCTCTGCAGGTGAATAAACAGGCCTCAATTGGACTCGGTTGTATATACGTTAAGCCTCTTTAAGTGCTTAGCCCTTGTCGCCGCTGTCGGTTAACTATACTAACTTAATTGCCTTTGTAAATTCAAACTCTAAGCCGCTAAGAAGCATATAATTGCTATATAATAGCGACCTTCTAAGCCTTTATAGAAGACAGTTATAACGACGACGAGGATAATAATTAGGTAGATATATCTACTAGTTTAATAGACGACGATAAGTTAAATACTAATTAGCTAGCGAAAGGAAGACAGCCGATATTTAAGAAGGCAGGAGACTCTCTACTAAGCGGCGTAGATAAGGAGGAGCTAGTAGTCGTAGAAGGGGATAATAATATCGAGGAAATAGGGGTAGATAGTAGAGTAGGCGGATTATATTATCCGAAGGATAGAGAGACAATAGAAGGTCGCTACGAGCTACTAACTAGCACCTCTTACTAGCGGCTAGTTAATCTGCCTAGAGAATTAAGCAACCTAGACGACCTATCGTTAATAGATAACGTCTAATATCGCTTCTTCTTACTCTTCTAGACTAATAAGGTTATAGACTGACTAGTTAAGTATACTAACGAGTATACTAGCAATAAACCGGACTTTAAGAAGGGCGACAAGGTCTTTGTTTCTAGCTATCTATAGAAGCCGGTAGATAAGCTAACAATGCGGATCTTCGTAGGTGTTATTATCTATATGTCTGCAATCTAAATAGCCGACAAGTCCGATTACTAGCGTAACGATAGATACTAGCCTAATTATCCTATTATCGCTTATATAAGCGAGTAGCGGTTTAAATAGATTAAGGCTGCTTTGTAGTACCGGAATAACGCGCTCTCGTTAAGTAGAAGAGGCTTACCTACCTAGACCTAGATACTACCGCTTGCTAACATACTATATAGCAAATTCCGCGAGGTAGTCGTGCCTAGTACTAATGTATCTATTAACGAGAGTATAATCCGTTTTACTAGCAAATCTAGGCACGTTATTACAATGCGAGGCAAGCTAATACCGATCGGATATTATATCCTTTACCTATATAAGGATAGGTACCTATATTCCTTCTTATTCTCGAGCCCTCGGAAGGTATATAAATAGGAGGTAGAAGATCCGGATTCTATCGCCTCGAAGGTCGCTTAGCGGCTAGTAGTAACCCTAGAGGTTCTTACGGACGCCGAGAAGAAGGATCGATAGAAGGAGAGTAATAAGAAGCGCCGTAAGCGTAAGTCTCGAGGACTAGGTAGTATTAGTTATAGTAAATACACTAGATTATATTTAGTATAGTAAGTAGGAAAGGAAAGTTATACTACCGCGGTCCGCGCCGACCGCGCGGACCGCGCTACCGAGAAACCCGAAAGCCTAATCGTGTCGCCTGCCGTGTCGCTTAGCTCGAAGCTAAGCTCGCTTAGGTAGGCTGTTCTTCGACTTATTCTATAACTTCCCTTCCTATACTACTTCTTCTATATTTATATAGACAATCTATTTAATAACGTGCTATTGTTTGCGGTCCTACGACATCTCGGCATTGCGGCGACTAGAACGGTACGTTCTAGCTTACTCTCGTAGCTATAGCGAGGCTACACTTTCGAGAAACTAGGGAATCTAAAAAAGGATAGTATAAGGCAGAAATCTATATACCTAGGGCTTAATCGCAAGACAACACGCTTTCCCTACGATATACTGCTTTGTAAGGCAATCTATAGTATAGCGGCGGTAATCTAGTAGGACAGGAACCTCGTTTAATTCCTAATAATAGGCTATCGACCCTTCGAGAGAATACTACGGCTTCGTGCCTGCCCCTAAGCCGGAAATAACGCCTATATCGATAAGTACGTACGACTATATTAGAATACCGACGGCAAGTAAGAGATGTCTCTTCTAGAGGTTGCTACCCTATATAACGACTATATAGGTAGCGTTAATATTTATAACTAGTTGCGCTATTATTGCTCGATATAGTACAAGTTACGGAAGGGTTAGCACCCCCTATTCTATTTCCTACTTAACGCTACAGTTATTAACTTATTTATCCTTCTACGAGGTAATAAGAAGTAGACTAAAGAGCAGCAATTTATTTACTAACGTAACTTCCGTATATTACTAGTATAGCAAATAGTCCGCCTCGGACAATAAGAGCTTAACGAAGCAGAGGCAGCGGAGGCCGCCTTAAGGGCTCTACGTATACTAACCCTACTACCTCCTCGAAGCTATAGTTAGTTTATCGTAGGTTACTCCTATAATAGCGGCGTACTAAGATCTCGGCGCTATTAGATTAGGAAGGGCGACAGTCTACCTATAGCCGAGGAATCTCGTCGCCTCGCTCGTAGTAGCAACGCTATCTACAACTAGAAGCCTATTTTGCTACGCCGACGTTGCTTTCTATATAAGTATGTAAGAACCGCTTAGGGGTTTAAATACTAGCTACTTAATAAGACAACCGAGTACTAGATAGTCTATACTTGTACCTATTGCGGTCCTATTCCCTTATATAAGGCATATAACTTAATATAGTATAACTAGCCTAATCTATACGCCTTCTTCGAGAGCCTAAAGCCGGAGCTAGTACCTAATAGCGCTTTAACCTTTAGCGATTAACTATAGTCGCTATTGCCTATAGATTAGCTTTATAGCCGACACTTAGTACGTATTACGACTTTACGAGCTCGGCAACCGTCGCTTCTAACTATCTAACTTAGAGCTAAAGTGCCTTAAACTCCTCCCTCTTAATAACTATTGCCTTACTTCGAGAGCCTCCTTCGTCGATAGAGCTAACTACCGCTAGCGACTCCTTAACCTCCCTCTTTAGTAGGAGGTTTACGTCTACCCTTAAGTCTTTTACTACCTCTACGAGGAGGTTTACCTTAGCGGCAAGCGGACTAATATTAAACTACTTCTTAAGTAGACTCGCCGGCTCGAAAAGGGCTTAAAGTGTGCCTTTACTAAGATTATAGCGCCTTAGTCGACGGCGTATATAAGATAGGCAAGACTCGGTTGTTATTAGTAGTAGCTAATTAGTTATTAGAAGGTCTTAATCTACGGTCTATAGTCTATATACCTGTCTCGGTAGCGTGCTTAGCGCCTCTATTGTATGCCTTCTTCTATACCCTCTTATAGACCTTTACTTGCTTGCTACAAAACCTTTACTAGGGGACGACTCGTGAAGGTGTCGGCTTCTTAACCCTAAGCTCTACTACGGCTGAATCCGAGACCCAATCGGACAACTTCGCTGTTCGAGGGGCGATGCAGGTTTGTATAGGGCCACGCTACATTTAGCATCAGAAGTGGAACCCGACAAGGGCAGAGCAAGGGTAGGTGTTCGACGGACTTAACCACGGCCTTCGTTAAGGGGATGCGCCTGCTGCAAGGCTGCGGACACGTCTCACAAATGATGTAGACACACGGTCTAGATCGCTGGCTCGACGTCATTTCCGCTGCCCAGTGGTGGGCTGTGTCCAGCTCAGTCTTTCATGTGGGCAATGGCAAGCAGGTTTGCTGCAGGCACGAGAGCTGCGGGCAAGGCAGGGCACGCGACACGCGAGCATCCATAACGTCTTCACAACTGCCGCCTCTTTCGATCGACTTCGCTAACCTCGAGCCACATCCTGCAACACGACAACCAGGACAACCTCCAACACCACACCCACGACATCATCACCAATGGACTTCGTCAACAAGGCTCAACAGGCTCTCGGCGGCAACAGCCAGGGGCAGCAGCACGAGCAGGGTCAGCAGCCACAGCAAGGAAGCTCAGGCGGTGAGCAGAAGCAGGGCGGCATTGGCGGTTTCCTCAGCGGACTCGGCAACAAAGCCAACGAAGCCGCTGGCGGTGGGCGTGAGAGCGAGAAGAATGAGGACTACCTTGACAAGGGTAAGAACTTGCTTAGATGGCAACGTACAATCGCCCGAGCTGAACACGTCTGTAGGCATCGACTATGTGCAAGAGAAGTTCATGGGCCAAGGACCACAAGACAACGAGAGCGCCATCGAGCAGGCCAAGGATGAGCAGATCTCTGATTACATTCGAGGACAGTACAAGAGCGCAACTGGCAAGGAGTTCTTTGTGAAGGACAAGCCCACTGCATTGGACAAGAACACTGACTAAGCAGGAGAATTGGAATGGAAACTATGAACCCCAAAGATAGGGAAGCGGAAGCAGGAAGCTAGTCTTTCCTAAGGCGATGAGGGCAAATACGAATGAAATTTATGGCCCACAGAACTGCTACTGTGGTGCTCCTCGTATACTTGTTCTTTCCCATGCCTTTAATTGGCCCCTCTCGTGAGCCAGCTGACTGATAATGTTTGGTTAGGTCGACTGCCATCGGGAATCAAGTCACGCCAGCCAGCTTTTTGCCGTCGACAAGCTGATAGCAGTAGGAGATCGTCTGTGTCTGTTCAATACACACTCTTTTCCAGCAATATCGAGCCTTCAGGTGTAGAACCTCTATGCGCAGCCGCAACTTCGACATCTCCATGCTTCGCGACGTTCTTCCAGCCCTCACCCTTCACTTGCCCCAATTGGGAGCTGGGTCCAAGAATCTCACTTCGAGACAAACAGCTCAAGTCGCGCATTATAAAATTGGAGCTTCACGCAAACCCTCTCCCAACCATCGACACCTACATCTCGCCCTTCGATACGACCATTAAACTCTCTGGGAATGGGAGTCGGGCAGTCGGAAGTATCGCGGGAAGACGGAAATGGAGAGGCTGAGTTGAAGTGAGGTGAGCTGCGGACATTCAAGATGCCAGCGCAAGCTTCCCGTGCTATCCAAATTGTCGGCAGCAGCTTCATCATTGCTCGAATATGAGGTTCGATCCAATCTGCAGTACGATCATCCGCTCCTCGAGAGATTCCAATTGTAAAAACGGTTCGGGATGTTGCAAAGTCCGCTCGCCATCGGCGCATCGATGAGCGTCAGGCTGTTGACTTTTTGGCCTTGACTCAGCAACATCTGTGCATAGCGGAATGCCAGCGCTGGTCTGCCCGTATCTTGTGGCCTGGCCTCAACCCAAGGTCATGCCACGGCAGCTCTACAGCCGCCGGCCCGACACCCAAGCCGACGAGATTGTTTCAGAAGACCATATCGACCGGTGATTCCTGCGACTGCTTGGCTGATTGTCGAGATCGGCATGGCCCTTGCGATGGCAGAGGCAGAGGATGGAGGAGAGGGTGTGGCGTGGCACGAGCGGAGACATCAGCGGGAGGTTTCAGCCTTGATATGCAAGAATGCCTCGTCCCCTTCGGGCCGACTTACTGGCGTGGCACTACCTGGCGAACCTTCTTTCGACATGCTGTCCTCTCGTCTCCTCGTCCTCCTCTTCCACACAGCATGTCAAAATATTTCCAGCATACGCTCTCGTCATCTCCACTTCTCCTGCCACAATTTCATGTCAGTCATGCATCCATTCTCACCGCCCTTCATCGTCTGAGCGAGCCATGTGTCTGCAACGCGGCGTGGATCCAGGCGAGATACCTGATGGCCGAACATATACCCGAAGAGGACAGACCAGGCTCCGAAATTCTCAACAAATTCCTCCGGAGAATGGGCAACGCTAGCACAGCCGGTCTTTGTCTTGTCTCAGAACCTCAAATCGCAGCGTCGCGAGTGCGCTAGAAAGCAAAGTGGAGCGCAGCTAAATACCACAGACACTATCGTGGACAGTACACTGACAATGATGATGCCGAGAAGCTGAAAAGCGCTTTGGAATCTGGTTGCACGCATACCCTTACACGACCATGGCACTGAAAACAAGATATGCCTTCGGTAAAATGGTCGCCTGGATCTTGATCGATCGCCGCCTGCTCAGTGCTGGGGTTCGATCACTGCTTCGAAAGTTTTTAGCCCTTGCTAACCACTCCAAACTCCCCATGCTTTAGTGTTGTAGATTAGACGCCGTCTATACACCGTCGGCAATCCAGAGAGCTCCCTACTGGTCACCCAAATTACACGGTGATGAAGCCATTTAGAACTGTAGACCTCAGGCCAGCACCCGACGAAGATGCGAAGAACATCAGCTGCTGTGGAGAACATCATGATATGGAGTGTCTGTCTGTGCCTGGAAGCCTTCCAGAATGTTATATCTGCAGCTACCCGGAGAGCGTTGATCACTGCCCCATCTTCTCCCTTCTGAGCTTTTCCATGACATTGCTGTCACAATGCCTCCATCAAAGACCATAAAGTACCGCGCCGCGTGCGATCATTGCTCCACTACAAAGATCAAGTGCTCGCAGGAGCGTCCGCAATGTGCCAGATGCCGAGCACTCGACCGGGACTGCCACTATAGCAGATCGCTCAGAGCGGGAAAGCCACCTAGGTCCAGTCAAGCTCTAAACAGGAAGCTGTCCAACGCACCAGTCTTACCTAGGTCCAGTCAAGCTCTAAACAGGAAGCTGTCCAACGCACCAGTCTTACCTCGCCACAACTCAATCCCTGAAAACGGTCTATTTCTACGGACGGATTGCGCTCCCTATCCCAGCAACTACTACACGCCGATCAGCCCAAGTACGAAGCAGGATCCAACATGGAAATAGCATACTTTCCAGACTTCACGGCATCAGACATGGCCCGCATGGCAATTCCGAAATAGCATACTTTCCAGACTTCACGGCATCAGACAGCAATCTATCGTCAGCTTCGTCTCTCGATCCAGATTGGCTGTTTGACTTCAACAAAAGTGCTCATCTGCTTAGTGATACTCGGGCATCTTCTATGGATTCGACCATGACTGACACCAGCCACCATTCCAGCCCAGACTCCAATGGTCACCGCACACAACCCGACTTCATGGACATGAGCTCTCTACATGGACTGTCGGGCATGTCCTTGCCAACCCCTCTGCGTAGTCCCGGGACCACCGGCCATAGCTGTGCAAAGGTGGCGACAGAGATGCTCAAGCAGCTATATGATATCCCGACCATTTCAATCGACGCAAGCACTACACAAGCCACAGTTGACCAGGTACTCAGCACAACTTCACGAGCGGTCCAGACATGTCATGCTCTCATCTCTTGCCAATGTGCCCAGGAATTTCACCTCCCAGTGCTCATCGCCACCATCATTTCAAAAGCGCTCGCGTGGTACGAAGCTGTCGCCTGGATACAAGACCCACGAACGAGAGGTACGGAAGAGAACTCCTTTCGCGAGGAAGTCGTTCTTGACGACAACTTGGCACTCGACACGTATACATTTGATGGCTATATGAGACGGACGCTCAAGAACCATATCGTGCATGGACACTTGCAGAGACTCGGTGACGCGATCTCTTTGTGGCATGATACATTCACAGCTAGTAGTCAAGGGGATAGCAGTCATATGAATGGAACCATGGGCGTGTTCCTCAAAACGAGACTGCAATTTACGAAGAGGGAACTGGATCGACGGCTCAGGGCTGGTTCGAGTTAGCTGTATGGTTGTAATATATGACTGGAAAGGGATGTTTGCCTTGAGATGTACCAAGCCATTGTCGCCACCTGAGCCACCTCGCAAGCGGCGTGTATCTATCAATACTCATCAATGAGTCCTTTTCCGCTTACCTTCTCCATTTCCCAATTATTCCATACAGTGTCGTAGTCTTTACACCGATCGAGACACCCGACGTAGATAGCAGGAACATAAGTCAGGCTTACTTTGTCCCACTTGAGAAAAACGGTAGCCACACAACACTCAAAAGAGTTCTAGTAAAGGAGACGAAGCGAGACCTCTCTCCGGCTTTCCTCGGTGACATCACGCATACCCCACCAAAGAATTGCGGCTGGGATATCTCCAGAACCCCGCAGGTGTGCCATTGACGTGTATCAACACAAGCTAGAGAGTAAGGCGAGGAGAATAAAACTCCTATGCCGGTCTTCTACACTTTCCATCAAGGTGTAATACAGTCCCTTTTCACGTACCAGACCGAACAGCCAGCCAATCACGGCATACGACGAGTCCAGAATATTTCCAAAATGGGTAGCGAGATTCCTAAGACGATGAAGGCCATTCAGGTCGTGGAGTTCAAGAAGCCTTATGAGATTCGAGAGGTATGCAGACCATCGCATGTCACGCCGAGCGCTCGCAAAGCACGGTAAAGTAATTACTGTAATGTCTACAGATCGATGTCCCTCAAGACTTAGCACCTCTCGACCTACTCGTCAAAGTCGCCGTTGCTTCGAATTGTCACACAGATTCTATGGTCCAGCAGGGTGTCTTCGGAAGACCTCTCCCGCAAACAGCATCGCACGAAGGTTCGGGCACAGTCGTGAAGGTCGGAAGCGATGTGAAGGACTTCAAGGTTGGCGACCGTGTTATGTGCGGTCTGCCTCTGCACCCATGCGGCCACTGCGGTGATTGTCTAGGGCCAGAGACCAATCGACAGTACTGTACCCAAATCGAAGGACATATTGGTGTCCAGACCAACGGATGCTTCGCCGACTATGTCAAGTGCGACAGTCGATCGACCACCAAGCTCGCAGACTCCGTCTCTTTCATGTCCGCTGCTCCTCTTGCATGCGCCGGCCGAACGGTCTATCGAAGCGTGTTGAAAACTGGTCTCAAGAGCGGCGAGTGGGTCTCGTTCGTGGGATCTGGTGGTGGCTTGGGGCATCTTGGTATTCAGTTCGCAAAGGCTCTTGGTATGAAGGTCATCGGTGTAGATGCAAGAGATGAAGGTCTGGAGCTAAGCAAGAAGTACGGTGCAGATGTGGTCGTCGATGCACGCAAAGGAAAGGAGGGGGTTGTGAAGCAAATCCAAGCGGTTACGCGTGGTCAAGGAGCCGATAGCACGGTGGTGCTTGCGGACCACAAGGATGCCTGTGCGTTGGGCTGCGCGTCGACCAAGATGCACGGGACTCTTGTCCAAATCGCCCAACCGGACATCATCGAGATTCCCTTCCCGGAGATCATCTTCAGAGACATTCGAATTGTCGGATCTTTAATCTCGAGCGCAGATGAGTCGGCAGAGATGATGAAGGTGATCGCAGAGCATGGAATCTCGGTCACCACACATCCGTTCCAGGGCCTAGACAAGATCCATGAGTTGACCGAGCTCGGTAAGTCGTCAATGCCTGGTCTTCCAAACTCTCCTGACTGACGTTCTTCTCAGTGCATAGCGGCAAGCTGAAGGGCAAGGCTGTCATTGTCGTCGACCCGCAGCAACTCGAGGAGGAGAAGAAGATTGGTGCCAAGTTCTAGATTAGTGAGAGAAATCGACAGCCATAGACCGAGAATGAAGCAATCATCATATCCTCGAGATATTGCGAGCTACGAGCTACCGGTCAAGTTCGCATGTAGTGTGCATTACGCATAGTGAGCATGCTCGGTGTAATCTTACTGCAAAGGTACTGCCATCGAAACAATATGACCACAGTCGCATGTCCGTCGGCCCGTATACATATGCCGTATGTCGGATGGTAGTTCACTGAAGAGCAAGAGAAGACGCGCTTCTTTCACATGCTGCTGTCCCCTGCATGTCTTGGCAAAACCTTGGTGGAGCAGCCGCGGAGAGCTCTGCTCATGCCCGAGCAAGCAACATCCAACATCACCACGCATCAGCACTCATCTCCCCTCCAAACGAGTGCCACTCACACAATATGGCAACTCTATTCTGTACACGGTCAACTTGCCTTCGCACAACCTCTGCTCCACGCGCGCTGGTCGCTGCTCCCTTCTCTGCGGCCTTCTCCAGGTCCTCTGCACGACCAGCAAAACAACCACGATTAGAGCAAAGTCTACGACCGCGAATCGCATCAGAAATACGGCACAGTAGGCTTGCACCAGCAGCGCGCAGTGTGTCTACAACGACAAACACAGCTCAATCTGTGCCAGACAATGTGTTGACCTGGGACCGATTCTTCGACCTGCGGAGGAAACGAAGGTGGCTCAACTTGGTATGCAGCGGGCTGACCTCAGGGGCCACTGTCCTAGTAGCAGCGCCTTTGATTGCGCAGGCGGACTTCGATAGCTGGGGAGCACAAATATCTGGACTGGATCCAATTGTAGTGCTAGGAATAAGCACTTTCACAGTAGCCGCGGGAGGCTGGTTGTGCGGGCCCAGCTTCGGCAATCTCATGTTCAGTCTATGGGCTGGACGAAGAGGATGGAGGGCTGGCATAGCAGAGGTGAGTACCTGTGACGACAAAACTGAAGGCGAAGGCTGGGCTGACACAAATGGCGAACAGAAAGAGAAGTCGTTTTATGCGCGCATCAAGCGCTATCGAGCTGACGCTTCCGCATCGAGCCCGCAGAACCCTATCCCTGACTACTACGGCGAGAAGATTGGAAGCGTGAAGGACTATCGACGCTGGCTCAAGGACCAGCGAGCGTTCAATCTGAAGAAGAACAAGAACATGCTGTAGCGTTGGAAGCGCGGTGGGATAGCACTAATGGGTTGGGACGAACGGGCATGGCATCGAGAAGGAGTTGCGGGACGAGCGTGTGGCGTATGGAGGGTTCTGACAACAGGCTGGCAGGACGGCTATGTTGAAGGCTTGAATGTGCATATGTACAATGGGAGCACACGAGCATTGAAATATGGTAGGTATTCCGAAAAGAGAGTTGAAGACATCCTCCCTCATGTGTAAAATAGGAGACGCATTCACTCTGCTCGGCAGCCAGTTTCACACGTTGGTTTACTGACCGGGAGCGGGCTTCAGGAAACAATTTCACATGAAATCATACCATACCATACCACTAGTAGCGCAGATGAGCCGGTCGTGGAAGGTACGACTGTAGGTAGCAGCGACATCAGCTCACTTCAGACCGCGACCTTTGCCGTCCAAATAACACCAGCGGAAAGAAGCACAGGGACTTCGCAAGCCGACACCAACACTAACAGCTCCAAGCAACCTGAACACCGACGCAATGGCCGCCAGCCGCGTCTTCTCACTGCCAGAGCTTGCCGAAGACATCATTCTGCGCTTGCATCCGCACGACGTCCTGTGCCTGCAGCGCACTTGCCGCGCATTGCGCGATACCATCGACAACACTCCCGCCATCCAGGAACTCCTCTTCTTCAAGCCAGCCTCAGACATCGCGCTCTACTACGTCGAACGACCGCGGCTTCCGCAGAGCGCGCAGCATTCCACCGTCATATTGAACCCGATGGGCCAACAGTGGGCATCGCTTGCCGCAGCCGACATCGAGAGGCAGGCCATCGAGAATCCTTTCCTGAGACTGCTTATGCGCAACGCGCCATTGCACTCAGGCTTTCGTCGCCGCGAGGCCAGCTGGCGCAGAATGCTCGTGACTCAGCCCCCGGTCAAGCGACTCATAGCTACAAATCTGGACTCTCCGCCCAGCACTCCCTGGTCAGGCATCACTATCACATCCAGAAGCAACCGAAGCCCAGCTGAACTCGATCAGCTGCTCGGGGATGTCGAGGCGCAGGCGGGCAGTGTGGCTTCTAGCAACTCGATTTGCGCACCTACGTGCGCCGGACATCGGGACGATTATATCAGACTGGATGATCTGCACAACACCTTTGAAACAAGCCTGTATCGAATCAATGGCTGGTCGCTGTGGAGGCCCTTCAAGAACTGGGACCAGATGCGGACCATTGCCAAGGTCCCCTACTGCAGAGCCGGGGAAGATTCGCTGGAGTTCCAGCCGGTAGAGGACGTGGAGTCAGGATGGGTGCTGTGGAAGACATTACTGCGACATTAAGCAGTTCGGGACAAAGAAGACATGATTCCATTCGTGTGCCTCTCGGGCCGTCTTCCTATTGCATGCATTTTCGAGTTGCACGCCGCAAAGAACTGCTCATCCTATCTCCTGATGCTCGTCTGCAGCAGTGATATACATGATATCGTGAAATGGCTTGGGTGGCGCTCTAAATTGCCATTTGACCGCAAACGGGAACGAGACAAAGAGAAAAAGTTCTTGAGCAGCCTCGTCTTGAACGCCGAATCTTTCCCTCACTGCCGAAATATGCCATGTTGAGGCCGTTGCATATGCTACAGCTCGAAGTGCCTCGCCAGCATGTGAGTGCGCCACGCCACCAACTGACCATTCTTCGGTGAAGCAGAAAGCCACGAAACGGTGCTGCGTCGAGATCCGGCATGAAGACACCATACTACTAAACTGAAAGATGCTACGCGGTCTAGCATGGACTGGCTTCACAGCGGATACAGTGCTATAAGAACAGCCCCAGGAGCGCGACAAATTTCTTCTGAAAATCACGAGCCCCTCCGCGTCAAACAAAAACTTTGCCACTTGAACAATTTACAAAGACTCTTCCAACATGTCCGCAGTCGACGATGGCTCAGTCCATTGGTCTCAAGCGACCAGCAAGAAAGGGGTGACATTCGAGATTGGTCGTGCTATCAATGCCGCGGGCCCTGGTACTATCAACGCGAAGACTGATGGCGAGGGCGACAAACCTCCTTTCGGTGTCTCGGTCGACTGGACTCTCGGAAGCTCTGCCTGGAAGCCTACTGATGCAAGTGTAAAGACCACTGCTTACATCTCCCAGTACGCCTTGTACTCCTACACCGGCATCCTCCCATACGACTACATCTTGTACTTCACTAATATCGGCGACAAAAATTACGACTACCACTTCCACGATGCGACTGGAGATGCGTACGAAGTGAAATGCTTTGGGGATGGAGACCATTATGTGAGGTACAAGTCTCAGAAGCCTGAGATCCTGTTCATTACTGGGATTTGACTTGAGTCTTCACGTTTCTTTCTTGCGAAAATGGTTCATGCTACTTGAGCTTTGCCTTCCACCACTCCTTGATTACTTAGCTACAGCGACAAAATGGGCACTCTGCCTTCCAAACCATCATCGCCTCATCCCAACATACCTCGTGAAACACATGTCCACAATTCAACCGCTACAGTGCACCAAACTCCTCGTGCGGAACTCGAGACATGCTGCAGAGCTTCCCAAAATCCACCCGTTGAAGCTTCTCCTAGAATCAGTTGCTATCTCACACTTCACTTAGAACCTTCTTCGAGCTACCTCAATCGACGCCAAATGTTCTCGTGAAGGCTCAACCGTAACATCACTTTCCTCAGTAATCAAAGCATCAAGGGCTGTCTCCGATAGAAATCGTCGATCCCAGGCATCTTTCGGATAAGAACCGAATTGAACGAGAGATTCCCAATCGTATGGTCGCAGCAGATGGGCAGTCAAGGGAGATGTGGTTGAAATTTGGATGAAGTAGCTTCCTTTGGGCGACTGAAGAAGGAGAAGAGTTCCAGGCTGTATTGTGGTGCGCTTGGATTTCTGATGCGTTGGTGCGGCTGTGGTGGGAACAAAGTTGGAGTTGATGTGTTGGACGAATGTTGAGGTGAATTGTGGGTTGTGAGGTGGGTTTCTGGGTTCGAGTGGTCTCCAGCGTTCAGCAGATGTTTTGTCCGTTCTTGTTGTTGGGTATATTTGCAGTGGCAACATGGTGTCGACCGACGATGTTGTAATAGGATATGTGGAATAAGGCGTCGATTCCAGGGGATTTCTTGCTAAAGTGTCGTAACAAAGTGTCTGGAGCGGCTGCTAAAGTGGAAAAAATTGGTGCCTGTGGCGAGATGTTGTCGCTATGTAGTCAAAGGTGTAAGCAGAGGAAAGTGCAGATGGAGGATATTTGAACCAAACAGATGTATTTGCGTGAATTATTCGTCTTGCTATATCGATCGACCTTGCAGTGGCTGTGGGGTGAGATGGAGATGCATGAAAGTTGCGCACGGGATGCGCGATTTTTGTAGCTTCACTACAAACGTCAAGACTGCGATCACAAGTACATTGTCGACGTGAATGTTTTCAGAGCCTAAATAGTGGAAACGCCCACTCGATGAGAATGTAATTTCGCATCTTCAGCAGTTCATTATCAGAAGCAAGACTGAGGTCAGCATTTTTCTGAGTAACGCTTTTTTGGAACTCAAGTTCGCTCGACAAGGCAAGTTCTTCACCGACCAGCAAGTGGCCATGTTACTCGTCGCGAGCATTTCATGCCATCAGTGAAAGAAAAGGCTCTCCTAAAAACTGCCCGCGACCTATTTCGCATGCCAAATTCTGTCACACATCGTGCATCACGAACTCGCGCTTGATGGTGGTGAGGGCAAGTGGCCATTGGCATCAAAATCTTCCACCAAGATCGAGAGCAATGGAGCGTGCAGCTGCGCGCCGAAGGTATCTCTTTCGCCCACTGATCCTTGTGGCCAAGGCCGCTTGAATGTGCATTTCCAGGCCAAAGCAGGCTCGAAAAACATCAGAATAACGATACCATCTGCTGACTGTAAATTGTATAGCATGCGTATCGTCGATGCAGTCAGCACGTCAGCTTTCTTGACACGCTCAAAAGCTTGTTTGCTGGCGAAGAGAATGTCCAGAGTGATTTCGAAAGGCCCTGAATTCTTAGAGCGCACGACCTTTGCCAAATCTTGAATGTACAGCGGGCCTGGTCGTGGAGGTGCCGCGGCAACTTCTAGATCACACGTCAGCATCAAGACAGATCTCGTATGTGCAACGAGATCATTCACTTTGGCAAATATCTCATACGTACCTTCCATTGCCTCGGTGTGCCTCAAAGGCATTACTGGTCTCCGGACAGGAGTCTTTGGAGATGTCACGCCTTTGGCTCCAACTTCAAGGATCTGCGCGGGAAAGAATTTCAACGGGTCGCTCACTTTCATCAAATGGTACAGACTGAACTTGAAGACCGGGCCTATGGGGGTCTCAAGTGGAGTCAGCGGGAAAGCAACGTTACCAGCAGTCGCAAGCTGGCCTTCGTATGAGCCGTGAAGCAGCATGGTTCGTGAATAGCTCGCGACAGCATCAGCTGCATGCTGGGTCGCGGCCACCACTTCCGCCAGGACCCCAATCTCGTGGACCTCGTGGACCTCGGTCTCCCAAGCACCCATGACTGCGTTCTTTCCGTAGAGATGGAATGCGATTTGTGGGCCCCCCGGCTCCTTCATGTCGGGGAATGCGTCGGCGGTGAATGCCTTGACAGAAACAAGGAAGTCATCAATGTTAGCTATCAGGATGGGATCCCGAATGCCTCCAATGTAGACCGTTCGATATCCGATGTGCTCGACGCCTTCTAGCTTGATTTCATAGTGCTCTGATGGCACGAATCGACTTCCTCGTACCCGCACAGTGCGCTGATCAGGAAGAGCTTGATAGGTGCACTCATCAAGATGCAGGACTCCACCTGGGCCTGGAAGCTGGTCGGGACGTGTCTTCTCGTACAATGTATGCGCTGCGACTGAAACGGGTGTACAACGCTGAGAAGGCTCTGTAGGCGTGAGGTCGAAGCAGTCTTGGTACATGGTGGCAACGATTGATCGACCCTTGGGAACTGCACAAAGCGCGCCGCACTCGATGATCTTGCCAACATGCCAAGCAGTCGCTTGTTCAACTCCACGATGCAGACAGAAGGCAATGAAAGGAGCAGGATCGTAGGAGCGTCCTGCCACGATGATGTCGACGGAAGGGTTGGAGAGAGCGTTCATGAAGGGCTCGGGCCCCATCTGCGCAACGACACAACATGCGTTCTGCACGTCATGCTCGCAGAGAGGAGGTGCAGAGCTGCACGGCTTGATGTTCCCGACGCGTAGGTTCTGCAGAATGGCGTCGCGGTCCTCTTGAAACTTGATAGCAGCAACACCAAAGGACCAGTTGTTGTTGACTGCAACTTCGGTGATGAGCTCGAGTGTGAAGTCGACTTGCGAGTTCGTTCCAGCGCCGCCAGCAGAGCTGACAAGAAATTTGATATTTCGCGTGGCACACGCTTCAAGAATTGGCTTCAGGTCACGGATGTAGGAGTCTCGTGAGCACAACGTCTTTCCCGTGCCGAGCAGGTACGGTCCTGGATCCGTCGAGCCTGCATCGAGAATGATGGCAGCTGGCGGATCTGGATGGTCGACGGCGGACCAGAACTCATGCTCGTTGTAGCCATAGCCAAGGATGCCGTTGGGGGTGAAGATCTTGAATGGCTTGAAGGTGTTGGCATTGGCCATGATGGCGATGTGACTTCTGAAGGCCTAATGCCGCAGTAAGTCGGGTCGTAGAGTGGCATAGTTTCAATACGTTCGTGTGGTAGTTGTATGCATGCAGCTGTGCCTGTGCAATGCCCTGCACGAGCTCCGGTACGTCGGACGCGCGTCGTCCGAACGTCGGCAATACAAGTGTGGTGGGTACATTGAAGCTTCTCCTCACGGTCACATGCATGGCTCGACGTCGCTCGTGAGATGGGCATCGGATGATGGTTCACGATGATCTAGACATGCGATGGCGTGTTCGGAGTGCCGACAACAGAAGGTGAGACTCCGTCGCTGCGCAGGGCGGAGCGGAGCGGGGCGGGGCGGGGGGGGGGCTTGGCAGACAGGCTTGGCGTGCTCAACGGGTAGAATACATGCGCATGCGCTGACAGTGAATAATGTGCAGGTGAAGTGCGATGTGAGCGACAACTCGGGGCGCACATGTCGGCGCTGTCGGCGGCAGAACATGCCGTGCGTCTACTCGAAGACGTACAAGCGACAGCGACGCCCTACGTACGCCACCGAGAAGCGCCCGCTTGCTTGCATGCCGCAACTGACGACGTGCGTTGGTCAGCAAACTCGAGCTCTTGCGACAGCTCGACGCTCTTCGACAGCAGCAGCAGCAGCAGCAGCAGCAGCAGCAGCAGCGTGATATTGCTTCTGGGACTGCTCCTCCTCAGGCTCCCCCTCCTCAGGCCGCAAGCGTATCGGGATGGCTCCCTGCTCTCGACGACGGCGTGGACGTGGACGTGGACGTGAACGCGTCGCCTCCCTCTCCCCCTCCCCCTCCCCCTCCCCTCCAGCCACCGCCCAGTCCCAGTGCTACGGCGTCATGTACTTCGCCCAACTTGCTTCCGGAACATGCGTCGCCAGAAGAGCACTCGTGGCAAGAGTCCTCGTATTTCCCGCCGCAAAGCCAAAGCGTGGCCGAAGCGACCGTCGAGCGTGACATTCATGGCCTTTCCGTCCGCGCCGCCGAGATTGACGACTGCTTCACACTGTACGCTCCATGACAATGACATTTGCGTCCCATACCCCCGTGCCTCTCAGCTGACAAGACATTTCCCTCGCAGCTTCAAAGACCACTGCCTTCGCTATGTGCCTGTTATGGAGAAGCTGCCTTTGCCCAATGCCTGCTATGCGCGCTCGCCCCTCCTCTTCTGGACCATCGTCGCTATCGGATCTCGCAAGTATCTGAACAACCCAACCCTCATTGTCCAGCTCGGCCCCAGAGTCTCCGACCTGAGCAAGACGGCAATCGCTCGTCTGGAGCCGGTGCTGTTGACTATCCAGGCTTTGATTCTGCAGTGCGCATGGCCCATGCCATTTCGGACCCTCTGCAACGATGTCACTCCTGTCGCTGCTGGTCTTGTGCTTCAGCTCGCTACCACTGTCGGCCTTCATGTGCAGGGCAGCGGTCAGGAGTTCGTCCGCTCCAAGCTGAGCTCCGACCGTGACCGAATACTGGAGCGTGGTCGCCTGTGGGCTTGCTGCTCCCTCGTATGCCAGAGGTATGTCGAGCAGCGTCCTTGCAAGCTGCGTGAACCACTGACACCATGAGTCTCAGAGTGGTCACCACCAATGGCACTCCGCCGCTACTGGTTCCCGACGACTACGATCTCAACTCCGCCGATTGTTTCATCCCGCCCAGCCTCATGCATCAAAAGCTCATCGGTGACACTCTGACCGAGGCTATCGTGGACCTCATGCGGAATCACGTTTTGACAGCACCTCAATCTCGCCTACCAAGCCGTTTGGACGCAGTCCTTGCAAAAGCTGTTGAACGCTTGCAACAGCTGAATTACGACGCGATCGAAACCATCGGTACTTCTCGCATATATCTTCGTGGGCTCCGCCTTTCTGACTTGATATTAGACGTCTTCTACGCGCAAGCAGCGGAATTGCACCTACTCAGCTTCCATCTCTTTAAACATCGCTCGGCAATTGCCGATGACGTGCTGAAACGCATGTACGATGTCGCTGTCGATCTCATCGAGCTAGCGTTGGAGTTAGACAGAAATGCAAAAGTAGCCGACTTTGGCCCGGTCTTCTTCGCGAGGCTGCTCGACTCTGCAGCCATCGCAATCTTACGCATCAGCAAATCTGACGTCGCCTATCATCTGGATCTTGACCGCGGGCGGAAAGCCTACTTCGCCCTGATCCTCTTCCACCGCAAGCACTCGGTGCGGCAGGATGATGCTTTTGCTCGCTTCAGCATTATCTTGACCAATCTATGGACAAGCACGCGCATCTTCACATCGACCAATGGGAGCATTGATAGCCTGCGTGTTCGGAGCCGTGCTCGCCTAGGTATGAGCATGGTGTATGACTGCTTCTGGTGGTGGCGCCAAGAATATGGTCGTCAAAAATGCATCTACGATACTGAAGAGCAGGCAACGCCACGCGCTCTGGAATGGTTCGCGTTTGACGACATGTTCACTGATAATTGGCTTGACGTGGGTATGGACGCCTGTGCTCTCTAGCAACTACGCCGACCAATTCGGAAGCACAGATCATTGAACAGCTACCAACTCAATTGTAATGCTTGAGCTTGATGCCTCCAACGACTTCCTCCTGTATTCCTTTGCACTTGCCCTTGAAAAGATCAGTCTGACCATACGCACCAATCCGTGCTGCGCGATACATCCCCGAACTTGGCTCCTGTCCCTTGTCAAACTTCTCTTCCACTCCTGCTTCGCGCAGAACCGGCGACTCTTCAAGCAGTGTATTGATGCGAACATCTTCGTTCGGAACGACAAAGTAAAAAAACCCACATCGATTCTGGTATCTTTGATCTTCAGGAGGCTGATGGACACGATGGATCGTGGCCTTGTAGTAACCGCCAGTCCACCATTCCATCATTTCGCCAACGTTAACAATGATCCCTCCAGGCACGTATGGCACCCAACGCCATTTGCCAGTCTCGTGATCTCTCAGCTGAAGTGAAGCCATAGGCTGGCTAAACAGCAACGTGACAGATCCAAAGTCGTGGTGTCCTTTGATCCACACACCTTCGGTCTTCTTCATCTCCTCGGCTTTGTGGTCATGGAAGAACATCATGTAGCGGAACCAGGACTCGTCGAAGACTTCATACTGGTGAAGGTCGACGAAGAAGTCCTCTGGTAGCTTCAGGGAGATGGCAAATAGCCTGAGGAGACGATACAAGATGACTTTGTGGATATAGTCGTTCATCTCTTGCACTTCTGGCACGAAAGGTTGAAAGGTTGCAGGATGCTCTCGCAAGCTGAGATCTCGATTCCAATTGTACTGTTCAATCTGGTCTTTGACATCGCCCGCAATCGTCCAGAACTGACGAAGCTTGAAGCCTTGATAGCTTCCAGACTTTTTGATGAGAGCTTCAAGTCGCCGCTTCTCCTCGAGAGGAGTTTTCGTTATGACGTGGTGCCCGATGTCGACTTGTCGGTCAATCTGCTCCTTCGAGATGCCGTGGTTTTGGACGATGAAGAAGCCTTGCGTTCGCATGGCGTAATTCAGCTGATCGGCGAGCTTTTGGCGAGCCTCGGGGCCATCTTCGTATGTGCCTAAGTCCAGGGTGACCAGGTCAGCATACTCCAATGGCTCTAAAGTCGGCTCGACTGGGACGAAGTGCTCGATCTCCGGGCCTGCGGTTGAAGTTGAGTGAGGCATAACTCTAACTAATTGGTGAGGAAGAACGTGAATTGCGTCAGATCAGCTACACCTCTTATATCTTCAACAGCCTGGTTGAGGCGAAGAGTGGACCTCACGTGAATTGTCCTCGAATGATATCGCCGTTCGGATAGCACGGCGACACTCAGACTGCTCCGCACTAGGCACTTGCTTCATCGCCACAACAATGCTATCGATAGGCTGCCGTGTAACCTATGCGTCCTATCCGGGATCTATAAGGTTTGCGAGAAACCGGAGCAGGGATTGAGAGCAAGCGATTATCGGGCTACGCTTCTTGGCATCATTCATCCATCCTGCCCATTCAGAGAGGTATACTGACCTACTCGGCTTGCATCATAAATTGCGGTATAGATGTTTCGGGACAAGAATACAAATTCGCTCCATATGTATTAAACACCACAGTAACAAACAATCGCAACCCGATCAAGATCAGGGTATAATGCCACCGAGTAAATGTATGCCCAGGATTGTGTACATCGATCGTAGCCTGAATTTGCGCAACAAGAGGGCAAAGGCTGAATTGCAGAAGCGGCAATGCTAAAGCTTTGCCACTTGCGTGGCCGATCCGGTATATGGTATCAGAGGTGTAGCTGCTGTTGAAGCACTCTCGCAACCAAGGCAGCACAGCATCTACGGCGGGACTGTATCCGCATTGCAACGCAAAGGACATTTCCGCAGAAGCCATTTTTGAAAGCATTCCGCGTGGAAGAAGTGCCAGCACGGTAATTCGGCGATCAATCCCCCTTCCTCAAACGACTCGTGGCACACTTGGCACTCGTTGTCTAAGACGCGCTCTGCCGCTTTCTTGTAGAAGAAATATGGCTTGACTGATGTTGGCTTGGCATACCCGGGTTGAATGACTGGGCTGATAGCTGAATTCGAGCTGTATTGCGATAGGAATCGAATCACAGCCGAGGATGGTCCTGCTTGTGCTGTCTCGCTTGCCGCAGCTGGCCTTGGGCTCCCTGCGCCTTCGCTATCGGGATTTCTGTGAGTCGTGTCTACAGATCGGTCAGCGTAGCCTACGAGACTGCCGGTCGACATGTCGAGAGTCAAGCTACCATGAAGCCATGAAAGGGAAGTATTGCTTACCTGATAATGTCAGTTGGCTCAAATCAAGACTTATACCTGGCAAAGTTGGGGGGACGGTCAAATGCGTCGGTGATGTGTTCTCTGAGATTGGCTCATATAGTAGCTCGCGGCGTCGATCGTTGACTCGATGAATGTGCACCTGATAATCAGTGTGATCAAATTCTACAGGACGCGCGACAAATCGTGCTACTTGCTCTTCGTGTTCACGGTAGATGCGGGTGCCCATACATATGGCGCAAATGGTGTTGCCGCGTGTTATGTCTCTGTTCTGGACGGGCTCTCGAAAGCTGCGCAGGACACGAGCGCTGTACTCGTTCAGCGGTACAAGTCCCTTGCGGCATGCTTCGTAGGGACAGATGCCGTGAAGAAGCCTTTGAAAGATGGTCTCGTCGCTTGGCCTCACGTCAATGTAAGAGTGCTCGTCCAACAACTTCACAATGGAAATGCTGGTCTTGCCTCGATTATGATTGCGCCAATAGTCTTTTCCGAATCGCCGATACATCACCCAGTCATGCGGAAGCAGACTATTGACCGGTCTGACGATGGCCTAAGTTTCGCATCAAGCTCAGTCAGCAAGTGCAGTGGTGCTGCAAGATCTGGGACAAGAACACAGGCAAAGGAGTGAGAGCAGCCAATACCTACCGTTGTGCGGGGCCCAGGGAGGGTCTCGCGATAGAAGCGGTCGGCGAGGACGAGACGATATCCGTGGCGCGTGATAGATTCAGGTCCTATGCGTGGGCCGATGGCATGGCTGATGAGAAGGACATCGTTGGCGTTCGCAGCTGCAATCGCTGCGCTCTGCTCGGGTGTCATTGTTGCGAGGTCGCGCGCAGCATGCGTGTTCTGGGGGCCGGAGTAGACGTGCAACGCTCATATAGCTCTTTCGATATTTATGGTATATGTATTGGTGAGCATGTCGCCGGTTGTAGCTGTTGCACATTGTTCACGAGTGCTTCGAACACTCTTCCATAAGTCTCTTGTGACATTCCATGGCAGCGTCGTGCAGCCTGGCCGATTGTATCACCACATCGCCATCGCCATCGCCATCGCCATCGCCATCGCCATCGCCATCGCCATACTGCGGAGTGCCAGCCGGTCGTGGCTATGGAAATGGTCAAGGAGAGGTGTGGTGTCCAGGCGAAGGAGAGAACGAGTGCATCGAAGGAGAAGTCGGTATATCGGCGTTGACTACGGCGGGCGAAATTCAACGTCTCTGCAGGTCCACCTACACCGCTCTGCTTCCTGACTGAGCGTGAGAAAAGCCATCGCTGCGCAGGAAAGAATCCATGTCCGAGGTATGTTGCGCCCTTTGTCTGCTCCAAAATCGTCAATAACACTTTCCGTGCCCTTGACCCCACCACCACCACCACCACGATCACCATCACCACCACCACCACCACCACCATCACCACCACCGCTGTCTCCGAGGCAACTCCTAACATGAGCGCCTCGCAGTTCTTCCTGCCCAACCCGGCGGTGGGCGACCGCAATGGCGTCGAGGACTGGCGCATCCGTGGCATGACGCCTCTCACCCCGCCCGACCTCCTCCAGCACGAGATCCGCCAGACACAAAAGAGCAAAGACACCGTCATTCAAGGCCGGAATGAGTCGGTCGAGGTGGTGCACGGCACCGACAAGAACCGCAGACTTCTGGTTGTCGTTGGACCATGCTCCATTCACGACCCAGCAATGGCTCTCGAGTACTGCGACAGACTGCTCAAGCTCAAGAAACAGTACGAGCGCGACCTGCTGATTGTCATGAGAAGCTACCTGGAGAAGCCAAGAACCACGATTGGCTGGAAGGGTCTGGTGAACGACCCAGATATCGACAACTCCTTCAACATCAACAAAGGCTTGCGTACTGCGAGGCAGATGTTCTTGGATCTGACCACCAAGGGCATGCCATTGGCAAGCGAAATGCTCGACACCATCTCTCCCCAGTTCACCGCAGACCTGCTTTCTGTCGGCGCCGTAGGTGCTCGAACCACCGAGTCTCAGCCACATCGTGAGCTTGCATCTGGTCTCTCCTTCCCGGTCGGCTTCAAGAACGGCACAGATGGCTCGCTTGGTGTCGCCATTGACGCGATCGGCGCGGTGAAGCATCCCCATCACTTTCTTTCCGTTACCAAGCCCGGAAATGTAGCCGTGGTTGGTACTGTCGGCAACGACGATTGCTTCGTCATTCTCCGTGGGGGTACCAAGGGTACGAACTACGATGCGAAGAGCATTGCCGAGGCAAAAGAGGCGCTTCTCAAGAAAGGTCTCAGGCCTTCGCTCATGGTTGACTGTTCGCATGGCAATTCGAACAAGAACCACAAGAACCAACCAAAGGTCGCACATGACCTTGCTGAGCAGATCAGGAATGGCGAGACCGCAATCATGGGTGTCATGATTGAGAGCAATATCAACGAGGGCAACCAGAAGGTGCCAGCTGAAGGCAAAGCTGGTCTGAAGTACGGCGTCTCAATCACTGACGCTTGCATCCACTGGGAGGACACTGAGCTGGTGCTCAAGGAGTTGGCCGAAGCCGTTGCTGAGCGTAGACAGAAGCTGGGTCCGGTCGAGACAGACGCTGCTGTCACGAATGGTGTCAATGGTCATGCATAGAAAGCTTGGCGGTTGCCATCTCATTGCATTTGGCGAGGCGTTCGGCACGGAAAAGGTACGCACGATGCATTCTGTAGAGCTTAGATGAGTTGACTCGTGCGAAAAAAGTGCGTTTGGACTGCCCATGTCTCCATAGGTATCTGGCACGACTTTCAAATCACGATCAGACCTGCTGCCGCGGCGGTGGGAAGTGTCTCCCGCCGTTTTCGCGGCCCAATCTCTTGGAAAGCATTGTGAGACTCGGTGGAGACAGTGGCGAGTGCCGCAGCACATTTGGAAATGAGAAGGGATCAAAATACCGCAATTCTCGATCTTCATTCGTAGTATTCGCTGTACTACAGCTGTGGTCTCACCACTCGAATTCCCGTTGCGAGTGAGGATTGGGAAAACCTTCAGCAGGCCTCGGGTCCTCTTTACGCCTCCGAATGCCAACGCAGCTCAAAAATGCGAACCCCAACCATTCCTCCTCCGGATGATATGCTTCTCATGCCAATCATGCCTTGCCCATGTGCATAAAGCTGTGTGGTTGTGTCCGAGAAAAGAAATCAGGCCTGTATCAAAGGAAAGCAATGCGGCGCCATTCCGTGATCGCCTGGCCGTTGCATTGATGCCGCTCTTAAAGTGATGCATGGCGACGTGAGCTGCAAAACGAAAATGCGAGCTGGATGTGCAACATTGGGAAGGGCGTTCTGCGCGACAAGACGCCATCGCAGGCGAGAGACTGTTGAGGTCCTTCAATAGCACTCTTCCGACTAAGCTGGGTGGCTGCTGTTCCCGGCGATCCTGGAACTCGATCTCAATTTCCTCCAGGAGCTTGTTCGCCTTGCTCCTCTGTCGCGGCACTCTCGGGCGAGCGACCGGTAGCGATGCGTTTCTTGGAGTTCTCCCACAGCGTGACCCGCCATGCCAGACCGGTGACTGCGAATGGAAAGTGGGCGATCTTAGCATCAGAGGGCCGGTAAAGCTCCTCGCAGTATTGAGCGTCGTCATGCTCTCGAATGATCTGCTCGTCGCTCTTCGCCAGAAAAGCTTTCAGTGCTGGACCTGCGTTCCAGGACGACATGCGCAACGCTTCCAGCAATTTCGACGTGACCTCGCGGACAGGCAGAGTTTCGCCTTCCAGCAGCTGGCAGAACTGGATCAATGTGGATACAACAAGTTTCCAGTCTTCAACAGTGGAGTCTGGGAGGACGATTCCCTCAACCACAGCAAAATCGATCTGATAGTTCAAACAGTAAGTAAGGATATCCGATATCAGATCGACGCGGAAGGTGGCGCGGTCCTCGATCTCAAGAAGACCCTCGTCGAGGCGGGTGTATCTGGACATCATCAGCTCTGAACAAGATGCCGCCACAGACGCTGCCAGCCGCGAAGGCGGTCGCGTGGCTATTGATGGACGGTCGGGTGGAAAGGCTCACCTGGCCATCGCAGTGTTGGCAGACACGAAGTCGGCAAATTCAAGGAAGTCGTAGGCGGAGAGCGGCCACCCTCCTTGTCGCATCCACTCGTCCTGGTCAGATTCCCATAGCTCCCAGACGGTGGCTGGGTCGCCTGCCAGTCGAAAGAATTTGCGTCTGCACGTCGGACACTTGCCGCGGCCTGTGATTGTGGTCAGCAAGATGGTGCGTCAAGCAACGAAGCATACCGACCGGCACCGCTCAACCACTCCCACAAGCACCCGTAACAGTACACATATGCGCAATCGCAGCACAGGCCACTCGCTTTCTCGACCTACAACTCAGACGTCAGCATCAGACAACGGCACCATGGTGAGCGGTAGATCGCAGAGCTGCTGCATACAGGGATATTGCAGATCGGGCACTCTTCTTCGTGCGCCGTCTTGATTTCTTTCAGGTCGTTCTTCGCGCGAAATTCCTCCTCGGTCGGCAGCGGCATGTTTGTGTATCCTAACCGGAGTTGGTGCGCCAGCCAAAAAGGGAAGTGTCGAGGAAAAGAAACAGAGTCGAGGGTTTGCTTCAAAGCTATCTGAAAATTGAATCCCGTGCTATGTTGTATTCACTGCCGCTGACAAAACTGGCAACCACGCCTCGACTCTTTCACTCGGACGTTCCCATGCCAACTGTGAGCTAGGCACGTGCGTCAAAACCAAAACCACCCCAAACAGAAGCCAATCCATACCTTCAGCTCTCATCTCATCACTCGTTAGCTGGACTTCCTGCGTCCTGCGCTGTCAGTACGTCAGCTGTCTGTAGGTCACCAGTGATCGAAGCTGCCGCCGAAATGTACAGCAAGATCTGGGGCAACCAGTGTGTGTTGCCACCGTCACCGTTGGCTTGCAAAGCTTCAACATGTTGCTCCTCGAGCTCATCCAGGAGCGCAACAGTGATACGATCAACAACATCCTGACTCGGCATATTACAGCCATCAAGACCTCTCAAAACATCACACAAAGCCTTGCCTACGGCTCTGAACAACTCAAGCTCCTCGTCTAGAATCGGCCGGCCGTCTAGAACCTGAAAGTAAGCCAACTCATTCGCCCTACCGATTAAGATTAGCCTCAAAGTGGGAAAGTCGAAACTCGCCCAACGCCTATCTTCGTAGAGGACATCATCATTATCAATGACTTCTTGCATACCGACGAGACGTGGAAGCAAGTACTCGAATTGAGTAAACTCATGATGTCCCGGCGGATCGCTCGCGACCTGCACAAGCTCCTCACCGAAAGCCTCAAAGCCATAAATCTCCAAGTACTCCCTCATATCTTCGGGCGGATGTGGAGGAATGAAGAATAGCTTCTTACAAGTTGGACATCGAGCTGAGGAGTTGAGCCATTGGGTTATCGATTCTCGGCAGTAGATGTTCTTGCAAGGACAAGGAAGCGTTACGGGGTCGATGATGTCTGAATCGAGACAGATGGAGCAGGGCCGGTCGGAGGAAGCTATGACGCTGGTTAGGCCGTTGTTGGTGTAGAAGGAGGATTCGGTTGGGAGCATTGTGTTGGATGCGATGTGGGAAGTGGTGGGTGATGGTGGTATTCTGTGGTGGTCACTGACGAGGTACAGATTGTTCTGAATGGAAGGAAATGGTTTCTTTTTTCGGGTGTAAGGTAGATATAGCTGTGGATGCGAGCGAGTGAAGATGCTCGCTTTCTACGACTGACCCAATGCATTGTGGATTTCAACAGTCACTTGTCGAATCTTTAGGTCCAATGCATTGTGGATTTCAACCCATCGCTTGTCGAATCTGTAGGCCGCGTAAGTGAAGGGAATGGTATGGTACTGCTTGTTTTTGGACAACGAATGGGCAGTGTTGAATGATATAGTTGAGCGCACGACGGCTTCTTGATACTGACAGTCTCTCTGCCCCACTACCTTCAAAGCCCCTGGTTCCTGGTCACCATTTGGAAAGTTTGGTATACCTGGTAGGATCTAGAGGGCCTTGTTATGGTATAGAATGGGCAGAGTCCAATTACTTCACTGCGCCGCTGTGCTACAGAGCTCAATCACGTTTACCGGACGCTGTTGCTAGAACGATATTGTAACCGGCCATGCAGGATGTATTCATTCTACTCTTACTCGTTGGACACCTTGTTGTAGAAGTCTTCTCGGGTGTGGAGAACCATGGTTGGAGTATGGATCGGTAATCTAAGGATAAACTGTATGCTTGAGTGTGTCTGTTGTTTGATCTGAACCGCAGACTGTTAGAATTGAACGGAAATTGAGAGTTTCATACGGGCCACACGTACAAAAGGACTGAAAGGCATTGTTGCGTGGCTTTTGTTACGGTTTGTCAAGAGACTTACTGTGTATCAGGTCACAACAATGAGAATGCGTTGTGCAAGATGAGCATACCAACACAGCCCATCAAGACGGATTGTCCCCATCAGAGACCGGATTGAACAAAGGATCCAAGGACAAAGAAGAAATCCCGCTTTATTCTCTCACATGGAAGCTTGAAGATGGGCGCGGAACGGTCGATCAACAAATTCCAAAGCCATTCTATAATCCTCACAGAGCTCAGGAAGCGCTGAGGGGACGAGACAATATGCCTCTACCATCAAGAGAAGAATTCTACTCTGGAGGCGGGCTGACATCAAGTAACGAGAAGGAATGTACAATCTGTCAAGGCGAAGAAAATGACGTGGTAGATCCAGTCACTCTGCCTTGCAATTGTAAGTATTCCCATTGCCGAAGGTGCATCTCTAGGTGGCTGACCTCTCGCAGAGAAGCAAACTGTCCGCTGTGCAAGAAGGTCTTCTTCATCAATCCTTCGTTTCCCGAGTCGGATGACGGTCAGCAAGGTGGCACTGGCAGTGGCTTTCTTGCGTACTGGGCCAGATGGGTCAGTATTGGCTTTTCGAATTCCAGGTTATGAGAGGGCGGCGGAAGGAATAAGCTTCTCTTCCATGTGACCTTTTGTCCGTGATAATAGATAGACATATAGCATTCGGATCTTGGTCCTAAGCCACCCAATCAAATGATCTCCTCATTTCTTTATATCTCACGTGCGATCGATTGCTACATCCGTCTTGATATTGCTTATGCCCTTTAGTAAAATTTGACGCTATCTCTTCGCTTCATTACTGAAGGTCTCTACGAGCTGCCGAGAGCCAGTGGATTGCAAGAAGCTATGGGTCGTGGCTTCTTATCTTCTTTGACGGATTCAGCGCGTCCATTGTCCAAGCAAACAGGGCTAGGGTGTCGTAAATAGTCCTCTCATCGACTTCAACCGCTCTTTATGCTTTGAAGTATTGATCAGCACGTTATAGAATGTAGAACCACCCAAAATCCGTATACACAGACTAGTGCCCCCGCGAGCGCCAAGCCTGTCATGTGCGACAACAACGCTAGTGAACCGCGCGCGGAGGTCAATGCTCAAGACTCACTTTGCGGCGCGCAGTATTTATTCGATCTTCAACCTGATATATTGTCATCTTTGGATTCAAACAAGTTCGCTTCTGACAATCGAAGCCCTTAGCAAAGGTCTCATCAACATGGCAGATCCAGGAGCCGAGCATCTGTAAGTCTGTTTACTCACATGGACCTTCTCGCGTCCCGAGTCAATAGCGGCGCCATTTGTGGTCACATTGAAGTCGCCAACATTTTTCAGATCCTCAATAAAACTCGAGTTGCCACTGCAAGTTCTGCAGGTCGAGGGCGGCAATGTCCCTATATACCTCTCCGCAAGCGAGGTGCTTTTGGTAGATGGTAGCGCTCCCCACAAGCCAGCCTAGCAGTACGTTCAAGCCGTGCTAATCTGGTCATCTAGGCAAAACGCTGTCCGCCGCGTCTCCCGGACGATTCAAACTTCGGCTTGGTGATCGCTGGAAGCACCTTGGTGGCAAAGAGGTCAATCATCCCTTGACGCGTGAGAAGATGAGTGTCTACTCATATCGCCTCTGCTGGATCGACGAAGCCTGGACGATTACAGATGAAGTACGTAAGCTGGTCGCTTCTTAAGGTTCGATGCGCTGATCATGCCACAGACCAATAAGTCCATGAGCGTTCCGCACGATCTGATCGACACGTGGCAGGTCTTTCCAACATTTCATCGCCATCCAGACTTCTCGATTCTCCAAAAGCATCGGCATGTATACACGTAGCTCGGGCTCCTTACCCTACAATCAGGACAAGAGCGCTTGGGAGCTCCGTGAAGACGCAGTCGTCGCACACAAGCTGCTGTTGAGTCTGCTGTACAGTCAGCCTATGCATGAGTTGTTGCAGCGCGTCCCGTATGCCCAGTGAGCACAGCAGGGCTCAGTACAACAACGGCCTCAGCTATTACACATTCATGGCAGTTGATCCAGAAGGCTTGCCATGGAATGGGTTGGTGCCATGGAAGCAATTCGTTCTGCCGATGCGAGACGTCACCGAAGCAAGTGACCAGTGGCTGACGGTGGTCGGGATTCAATCGTAGCAGATCAAAAGGGGTGCTCGCGGTGGACATCACTTAAGCCAGGCTGAACCCAAGTCGAAGGCTCGCTGCGTGAGTGGCTCTTTAATCGCATAAGCATTACGCATAGGGCCAGTGTCACATGATTCGAAGGCCAGGTATCAGACAGAATGCACTGTGAACTCGTTGCTATGTTCCAGATGCTGAGTCTTCTTCCCGACCGGCCTCTGTACCATTGATACGGCTCCTAAGCACCTGCACATGCCTGAGACGCAGATTCTGCTCGCACTGTCATCCGTCGTCAGTATCTGCATGATATTGTGCGAATGCGATTGCGATGCCGAGGCAAGGGGGCAGTTGAGATCCAGCAGTCAAAATTCTCGATAGAATCACGCATCGCCCTCAGCTCGTTGTTCTGATGACTGTCATTGTCAGACTCGGATGTGTGTTGATCCCGAAGCAATGCCGTGGAGTGAGTCGACGTTATGGAAGGAGTTCGTCTGCCCTGTGAGTGTTAGAAGTCTTCCCCACCTGCCGCACACTCCCGCCTGCCGTACAGCCGTACACTATTTAGCACTGTATCTTCAATACGGTCGTATTTATTTACGCAATACTAGACGGATTGTAGTTGTTGTTAGTGTATATAAAAGCGCTGAATGCGCTCTTCAATCTAATATAGAAATTATATTCTATTCTATAGTAGTAGCTACGTACTACGTAAAGCCCTTAGGCTACTAGAAGCCGATTTACTAGCTTTCCTAGTTAGGGTAAGTACTATATCTTACTCGGGCGGTTATTAGAACTTATATAGCAAGTAAGCTACTCGTAGAGGGTCTAGAAGCTATAGTAGGCCTTAGGGACTTATTTAAACCGTTACGTAGCTTCGGTAGTAGTAGCTTAGACAGGACAACTTATAGATCGAATATAGATTAGTGCCTGTCTTTAAGAACGTAGAGTCTATATTATAAGGTATTAATACTAGTATCTAGGCTTGCTAGAATAGTATAAAGAAGGCTCTCTTAGGAATACCTTATATAGCTTGTAATGTATAAAGATAGGCGTTTAAAGTAGTAGAATGCTACGTAACTAGTGGCTGGAAGTCGTTGGCGCGAAGGAAGAGCGCGGCATTGTTGAGGGAACGTAATCAAGGAGATAGCATGAAATATTGATTGACTCCTGCCGGGGCCGAAAGCTTGTCGGCATACTGTAGGTTGTGAAAGAAACACAGCCATTGAAAGCCGACGGCACGCGGTCACACGAACACCTGCTGCAGCGAAGCAAAGCAGAAGAGTCGGCTGACTGCAGCACAACACAGCCCAGCATCACGGCACGCGGCCTTTATCTGGCGACTTGCAGTATCTGCTGTGCTTGCCCGGGCCCGAAGCTATACCGTGCTCGCAACAACAATATACAGTCGAGCGCGTACACGCACATACACTCCACCAGCAATAGACAGACGGGAAGACAGCATACTGCGCTGACGCTGATATGTCCTCGCAAGCGGGCGGCGACCCGTCCAACGCGCGGCCCATACCCTCAGCCAGCCTACGAGATGCAGACTCGGCAAGCTGGATGGGCTCGCCGAGCCGAGCTTCGAGGACGGCAAGGTTAGCAGAGCCCATAGCCGGATCTGCGCCTAGTGGTCCATCTATACCGAACGTCCAGGCACAAGAGATACCGCAAAATCAAGAACCTTTGGCCGGGGCCTCTGTGTCTTCAGTGCCCGGTCCAGGCCCTTCGTCGTTATCTCAAGCGCTGCGAAGCTCGATGGGCCAGTCTCCATCAAGATATGGCACTCCTCCGCCGATGAGAGAAAATAGAGGTACGAAACGCTTCGAGAGTCCGCAGGGCAGAGAGCAAAGAGTGGGATCGTTCACATCTGCGAGCTACGCAGCTCAGCTTGGGCAGAGTCCGAACGCCAAAGAGGATATTGAAGTCCTTAAGCGACATCTCGTGAATCCATCCGGAGGCTCGCAGGCGGGGTCACCGAAGATTGGCGGAGCTTTTCCAGGCGAGAGCTCGAATGGGCAAGAAGAAGAGTTCTCGAGCTTGCAGCTGCAAGGTGGCGATACAACCCGGCACATCTATCGGTATGCCGAGAAGAAGGAGCGAGAAGAAGCGGAGAGCAGCAGGCTACGAAGAAGCGCGAGCTATAGTGCTCCGAAGACGACCAACGAAGGTGACGATGATGACGACGATATATCTTTCATACAAAAACCAGGTGGGTTTCGAAGAGATCATTTACGTCGCGCTGCTGCATCTCCAGCGCCATCCGCACAAAGAGCTCAATATGGAACGATGCCTACTCGCCGAGTCAATCCGGAGCCGACGAAACCTCAATTCGTCACGAATAACTTCATCGAATTTTTGACTCTGTACGGCCATTTCGCCGGCGAGGAGCTAGAGGAGGATGACGAAGTGCTGGGCATAGACGAATACTTCTCCTCCGACGCCTACGAAGAGACGACGATACAGGACGATGGTTCAGATCGCGACGAGCGAGACTGGGGCGAGGACTCTGCACTACTTACACCTGCTAAACGAAAACGAAAGCGCAAAGCACAACCAAAAGGCAAAGGAACACCATTCGGAGCCGCCATGTTGCTTCTCAAGTCCTTTGTTGGAACTGGAGTTCTATTCTTGCCTCGCGCCTACCTCAATGGTGGAATGGCGTTTTCAAATATCGTCCTCTTCTTCTTGGCAGCTCTGTCCTACTACTGCTTCATCCTGCTGGTATCCATTCGTCTCAAGATCCATGCATCGTACGGCGACATGGGCAGCAAGATCTATGGCAATTACTTCCGAAACCTAATCAACTTTAGTTTGGTGATCTCGCAGATTGGTTTCAGCAGTGCCTACATCGTCTTTGTGGCTGAAAATCTGCGAGCATTCGTTTTGGCTGTCACGCGCTGCAAGACCGACCTCAACGTCGGCTACATGATTCTCATGCAGATGATCATATTCCTGCCAATGAGTCTCTACCGCAACATCAATCATATCCAGAAGATGGCACTTCTCGCGGACGCCTTCATCCTGCTCGGATTGGTCTACGTCTACTACTACGATGTGTACACAATCGTCCGCCAACACGGCATTGCCGACATCCAAAACTTCAACGCCAACTACTGGACCCTTCTCATCGGAACAGCAATCTTCACCTTCGAGGGCGTTGGTCTCGTCATCCCAATCCAATCCGGAATGGCCGAGCCCAAGAAATTCCCAAAAGTCATGGCCACCGTTATGATCATCGTCACGGTCGTCTTCATCTCGGCAGGCGCCCTCTCCTACGCCGCATATGGCAGCGACACCAAAACCGTCATCCTCCTCAACTTACCCCAGGACGACAAACTGGTCAATGCAGTGCAGTTCATATACTCCCTCGCCATCCTTCTCTCCACACCCCTTCAAATCTACCCAGCAATCGAAATCACGTCCCAACAGCTTTTCTCTCGAACCGGAAAATACAACCCCTGGATCAAATGGAAAAAGAACATTTTCCGTTTCTTCATGGTCGCACTCTGCGCAGTCATCGCTTGGGCAGGTGCAGGAGATTTGGATAAATTCGTCAGTTTGGTGGGAAGTTTCGCGTGTATACCGCTGGTCTACATCTATCCTCCCATGATGCATTATCGGGTCGTCGCGACGAAGACTTGGCAAAGAGCTGGGGATGTGGTGCTTGTGATTTTTGGCTTTGTGATGATGAGTTATACGACTGCGCTTACGATTAAAGCATGGGTCAATGGACAGCAGGATAAGACGCCGGGGTATTGTGATACGGTCGGGAAGTTGTTCTGAGAGAAGAAGGTTCAACATCAGCACAGGATGAGTGGCAGCTTTGGTTTTCATTTATGCGAGCATATATGTATATGTGTGTACATGTGTATAGCGAGGAGTCGGGCGGATGATCCACTAAGCAATAGAAGTAGATGAGAGTGTCGCATGGTAGAGATTCGGCGAAGGAAATGCATGAGTTGGAGTGATTCGTGTATCATTTTCGATCTATCATCAGCGCAAGCCTCCTCTACTACTCCATTACATCGCCAACTCATGAACTCGTCGGCTTTAATCCCCTCCCCGCCAGCTGCTCCTTCACACTCTCATAAACCTTGTCGGGCTCAGGTCTCGCATCAACCTTCACCACCCGACCCTCTTTTTCAAAATACTCGACAACAGGCATACTAGTCTCCACAAATGTCCTAAACCTCTTCTTAATACTCTCCTCGTTATCATCTGCCCTCCCACTCGTCTTTCCCCGATTCAACAGCCTCTCCCTCATCGTCTCCTCAGGGCAATCAAAGAAGAGTGTGAACTTGCTCGGCACGACAATCTCCTCAAATTTAATCGCCTGATCCATTTTCCTCGGGAATCCATCAATCAAAAATTTCCGGTTCCCGCTCTTCTCGATTTCTGATACCATGCTGTTTTCTAGGAGCTTGATCGTGACTTCTTGCGGCACGATTTGTCCTTCTTTTATGTAAGTTGAGATCATTTCTCCGTAGTCGGAGCCGGGTCGGTTTTGTTCTTCGCGGAGGAGGTCGCCGGCGCTGAGATGTTTGAAGCCGTAATCTCGGACTAGGTTGGCGCATTGGGTTCCTTTGCCTGCGCCTGGACCACCGAGGACGAAGAGCACGAGGGCTTCGTCTGGGGCGTTGGTGCCAGACTTGAAGAGAGGGGAGGTACGGTCGAAGCCGGGAACCTCAATCGGTGCCATGATGTCACTTCAGTAGGGTGTGTGATGTTTGACTACTCTTTCCTTGGTGTCTTGGGCCACTGCTCTCGACCGGGATTTCGTTCGGGAAGTTCGTAGGTGTGAGTTGGAGTTTGACCGGCGCGGGACTTTGTGAGGAAGTAGAAGGAGCCGGTGCCTAGGCAAAAAATGGCTATGAGTGGGAGGACTGGGAGGTTTGAGTTGCTGCGCGAGGGTGCGGAGGCTCGTGGTGCTACTGGGTTGGGGGGAGCAGGAGCCCGTTCGCGAAATGCTAATGAGAGACTGAAATGTCGACTCGATTTAGTGACGAGACGAGCTGGGCGTGGGAGATATCGAAGGTGGTGCATGGTGTAGGAAAAGTTGCGAGCTTGGTCCCGAGTCGTCCTGGGAAGGTGAAACCGCGGTCGTCAATGGCGGGAAGACGTCATTGGTTGAGAGCTCATCAATATTTCATGACAGGCGCCTACGCATCGACCAAGATCGGAGGATCCCGACTTCACCTTGCACTTCAAGTTGTTCTCCACTAATAACACATCGCATTTTGGATGCAACTGTCCTTAGGAGAGACTGAAGACACAATGATCAAGCCCACTGCCTTGCCAAACTCCACTCCAACATCCGCCAGCGGACGATGGCCCGCGAACAGAACTGATGACCTCTGCTTTCTGTCGAGAAGCCGAAGCAGTAGTAGCGAGGAAGAAAGCAGAATTGCGAGATGTGCGACTGGCCTACATGAGACTCGCTCCGCGCCATCATGATAATCAGCTGCGTTTCAGATGGAGATTAGGTTCTTGTCTAATGCTAACGAGCGGAGGGCACAGATATGTGGGTAAGAGACAGTACGCTCTCACTTCAGGACAGCTCAAAGGCTCTAGTATGCGTTACTGCACGTCAAGCAGTGCCGGAGCCTCGTACATTCTGCCATGACATACAAAGCAAGTCTTGTCGATGACTACCATGTGAGGTGTAGCAGCATACACTCAAGTGCTCAACGCTGTCGTAGCGCGAGATCAGCAAAACGTCGTGTCCCGATCAGGAGAAGCGATAGGGTGAATACATACTCATTCGGTGACTGCTGAACATTCCTGCTCACGCTGAGCTCGGCTTTGGCGCTGTCTGGCTGATTGGCAGGAAAGTCGTGGATGCCCCGGGTGGACCAAGAGCAGCGACCGTCGGGTGTAACGTTTCTTGTTCGTGAAGAATAGCTCTGTCTCACTCTCTATACGCTCAGTATCTTCGTAGCGTACTATGTGCTCATACTGAAGGCCACAGCCATTCAAGCCTGATGAAATACTGCAGAAATGGAACAGGAGCGCCTAGGCGTATGAGGTACAGAACACATTCACCCGCGTTGAGCTCGAAAGGCCCCCAGGTTCAGACACCGGTAAGACCGCATAGGGCTCTCGATGCAGGATAATGGATGTATCTGACATTGTGTCCTCCTTGACTCGAACCGTGCTTCTTCCAAGGACGACTGTACCTGGCCTCCGGAGTGTACCAAAATCTCTGGTTACCATCTCCCAAGCCACAGTATACCTCTCTTCTGGCGCATAAAATCTGTAGACACATCTGCGTCACACCTCCAGCAGAAGCCAGGATTCACGACCTTGCTTTTGACCGGGTCAAAGCGTCGATTTGACGATCAAGCAAGGCCATGAATGCTGAATATCGCTTCGAGTTCGAGGCCTGGATTGCTCAAAGGCAGCTAATTTCAGCTCTGAATGACTTCACTGCTGCCAATGATGCTGCATATCTCGAGCATACACCATTGACTGGTGAACCATACCGGAATAAATACTTCTGCTTTCGACCTTCCAATGCAGTTCGTCCACCACCAACAGACCACTACCGACCTCTCCCAGCTACACACAAGCGAATCACAGCAACATTTAAAACACCTACAACACCCTACAGCCATGGTGACCCTTCGCCGCATCACTCTGGGTATTGGCGTGACCCTTGCCTGCCTGACCTCCTCTGTCCTCTCTTCCGGCCCTGCTCCAGCAGCCCACGCTCATGCCTCAACCAGTCCTCTACGCTATCGCCTTCATCCTCGCAACTTCACTGTCGCCCGTGCCTCCTGTGAGCTGAACTGCGACATCGACTTGTGTGCCGACGATCCAGGCCTCTGCGACGACGCCGACGTGGTCTGGGAAGAGAGCATTCTGATTGACGCCTCCACTCAAGCCTCCTATGCTTCTGCCAGAATCTACAAAGTAGACCTTCGTGACGGCAAAGGCTCGTTCTCCATCTCCTCTCGACCATATCCAGGATCAAGTCTTCTTCGAGGCGATGGCTCCAAATGGGCAAATCAGCCTTACGACAAAGCTTTCAACTACAAGGACTCGGCCGACTGTAATAACTGGGCATTGGGACACTTCGACTACCCGACTAACTACGCTCACTGGGTTACAGAACATATCCTGGAGCTTCAGACGGTCAAGATGTTCATCGTATCAGCTATTAGCGGTACTCTCCCAAGCGGTGCGACTTCTGAGATCGCACCTCTTGGAGCTAGCTGGTTCCGGGACGTTTGGAACAAGGACGTACTGCCTAGTGATCTGCCGGGTATTGGCGAGGGTGGCAATAGTCCCACCGTACCGAACGACCGAGTTTTCGAAGAGCTTGGCTCTGTCCAGAATCGACATGAGCTTGTCCTTGCCGGCCGTGAGCTCAACGCCGTGAAGGCTAGGATCTGGAAAGGCATCGCTCCACACGCTGATGACAAGTTTGATAGTGCAGTGGAGAAGTGGATGGCCACCAAAACTTGTGGCCTTTCTCCTCGCTTCATCAAGTATCTCAAGTCGGTATTCCTTGTATTCGACTATATGACAGATAGCAAATCGGTCCTTCAGTTTGCCAGTAAAGAGTCGGGGGGTGTTTGGCACGAGCTGGAACTGATCGAGAAGTACGTTGGAGAAGGCACTGAGCTGACTGATCGCTGGATGGAATTTTGGTGGTACGTTGCCTGACCAGTTTGCTTCAACTACTTCTTCTGACTGACCATTCTCAGTGATTTCCTCGACAGCCGCATGGACAAGATGAAGGATTGGCTCGTGGAAAAAATCTCATACGTCAATCATAGAATTGGCGACACTCCCGAACAGGATCGCCCTGCTGATTGGTACGAAGTGAGCCAGATTCTCTACGGCATGTACGATGACGCCTGGAATCGCGGCTCTTTCCGGTGTCAGGCCGACCTGGACTAGAGCGATACACATACAGAGCCGGAGGACGCTGCTGTACCATAGGGAGAAGCCTAAAGAAGAGGCTCGCTGAACTACTACTACCGCTACTACTGCCATCAGGAAAGGTTAGCAGTATTGGAGATATTCGAGTAGAGATATCGTGGAGGGTAATTCTAGCTGGTAGTGCCTCAATCAATCCTGACTCTAAAATTCATCGCGTGCCAAGCTTTCACATGTGAAAGCGGAAGCCTAATCTCGCCCCGCTTCCGTGCATTTAGAAGTTCGCTGCTGCCGCCTCGACTTTACAAAAAGTATCCACATTCAGGATTGAGACGCTTCATTACCGCCATGGCTTACAAGCCCGACAATGTGCAACTGCTCGAGTCGCTCCCAAAGCATCACGATGGCAAATTCGGCTACGTAGTCTACCGCGTGGTCTACGGCGACGATGCGCGCTGGAAAGAATTCCTGGATTGCCTTGACGCGTACGCTCAAACCAAATTCAAAGACAGCGATGTCGACCATGAGCTCAAGAAGAATCTTATCTGGGACGTTCGCGAAGATGAAGTGCAGCTCAACGGCGCTTCCAAATCCACAGTGCGGCGGTGAGTGGCGAGGCTCGACAAACTGGTTGGCAAAAGGGCTGACAGTAGAGTTAGCATGTTCTCGGAATGGGTGCAATCGGTCAACGGCGACTACGATCTGACACGCTATGCCGCTTGCCTCTACATTGACGAAGAGGTCATGACATCCGTCATCGAGGACGAAGATCCCAATGACAGCGATCCCGATCTGATCTTGCGCCCGAAAGCTTTCGTCAAGCTCATCCACGAGTTTTTCGATGAGACGCCACGTCAGTGGGACAAGAAAACCATTCCAGACGACGAATCGCGGGAGAGGATCAATGCTGGCGATGAGGGATATCCTCCTATCGAAGGTGACAAGCGGTTCGACGTAGGATGGATGAAGAGCTCTGTTCGGCGCTTGCTGCCAGCCACATATCTCTACATGGGCGGCGGTTCCTGGGAGCAAGTTTACGTGCGTCCGCCGAGGATGTCAAATGGTGGGGGCTGATCTATGAGATGAGAATTTGATTGAGGCCACAGCAGTACAGCGACAATAAAACACATCCTCCCGGACCTCCCCGCTCTGATACTGTTGTCTGTTGCCAAGCCATTTGATATTCTCACGCTAACCATAAGCGATCACACTCCGCAGCTTCCCCGAGAGCCGCATACACACTCGCTCTGATTGACACTGCCCACCGCTGCCATCGACATTCACAACTGCAACTACCTTCATTCTCGTGCGCCATCGAAATGCTGTGCCTGCGCTGTACACGAAGTGCTCTGAGGGCATTCAGTCAACCGCTCAGACTGCCCGCTCAGAACATGCGACCCCTTCAGAGCCGGTACGAGCACCACATCATTGACACTGCATCATCAGCTTCTAACAGCAAGCACAGATCTTTCGCCGTCCTCTTATCATCACCTTCGCGACCGAGCACTACTCCAACAACATCCTATCATCAACCAGCAGCTTCGACCTCAGCAGCAGAGACTACCTTCGCGCAGCCCACATCTTTCACAGGCCTTTCGATAACACAGATACGAGGCGCTAAACGTGCGACATTCAGGCCTTCACATGTCGTGAGAAAACGGCGGCATGGCTATCTGTCTAGGATCAGAACGAGGACAGGAAGGAAGACTCTGATGAGGAGGCGGTTGAAGGGAAGGAGTACATTGAGCCACTAGAGAATGACAATATTCGTGCGCACGCGAATACGGCGCTGTGGGAGCGCACACGACTTGAGCAGGTTGCGTGGCGGACACATTCAGTCTGTCAGTGACCATTGGAGGCGAGGCGATGGATTAGCAGCAGCAACCCCCACGTTCCCAACGCCACGTTCAGAGACATAGTCTACTTCAGCGGACCTGAACCCACGCCATCCTACACGTAGCCGCTCTCTCGCCTTACGTCGCCTCTGAAAGCATGCATTCCGGCGGTGGTGGAGTTCACCTGAACATGGCATAAGCTTTTGCAAGCTTGAAGCTACCAACAACAGCTCACACACAGTCTAATCGGATTTAGAAATTTATCAGGCCTCTTCTGAACTCCTCTTTGCCACGACCGCGATAGATCTCTAAATTTTTTCTATCTTTCCACCGGCCGACTAAGGGATCTGCTTTCCACTACCTGGTCCCGCTCCCACTCATGGAACCGTCCGGATTGACTATGGGCCAAGTACTGCGATCCGTGTCTGCTGAAAGTAGTGGCGTCGCAACTTCACCTGATTCCTGTTCCAGCGACAACATCGCTGCAATATGGCGCCTTCCACAGGAAATTCTCGAAATGGTGTTCGATCTTGCCTTTGCTAACAAACCTGATGGATACAATCTCCAACCATACTTAGATAAGCTGTCCATCTGCCTTGGCCACACTCAGCTTCCTTTCAAGACTGAGTGGATTACATCGACCAGCATAGACTGGAAAGCGGATCCTGTCCTCTACCTCGCTGCTTCGGAGGACCATGCTCTCGGAGTCTCGAGACAATGGAGTCGTGCAGCTGCGCAATCGTATTTCAGGAACACCCCTGCTTTCATACGGTTGGAGGAGCTCGAAGCTCGCGTTCTAGATTTTATTCCTACAGCCACAAGAATGGTTGTGCGACGTGTCTCCCTCGACATGCGCTATTGTGCGCACTGGGACGAAGAGGAATTGCATGAAATGGTGCACTATCTCCTTGAAAAACTGCCAGCGATCGAAAGTTTACGCTTGCACAGCTGGGACATGCACCGTCGCACTGATGGGCGGCACTCTTTGATCGTTAATGTTTTTCCCGAATGGAAATGGGTGGATGAGCTTGTTAGCCAAAAGAACCTGAAAGATGTCTCCATTCCCGAGATTTCCAACAATCATGGGCTGCCTGTCGAATTTTTCGAACCCAATTCCGACGTCATGGACGAACTTGATGCATACATCCAGATCAGACTTGCCACGAGAACTTGCGGTTTGGACAACTACAGAGCAGTGGCACAAAAGTTCGGTCTTCTTGTCAAGCTTCGGTGTCGCAGGCCTAAGTGGAGGTCACCGAGACGTCTGGACGCCGATATGGAAACGTGCTCAAAGTTTACGATGAAGCAGTGGGATATCATGGAGGCTTTGGGAGATATCTATGAAGATAGGAGCAATGTGGAAGCAGGAACTTACTTCAGAGCACTGCACTCGCACAGCACAATGTACTGGACATGGAAGCGAAGCGAAGATCGGGCAGCGAAGGCAGAGAGGGCTGATAAGGTCAAGAAGAAGAAGCGTCAGAACGGGCGAGAAGTCGGGAGAGTCATGACAAGTCTTGAGGGGATAATCAACGAGAAGGCGAAAAGGGGCTTGTAAATGGGATAGAAAGACGTGGCTTCTCTCGTCTTGCGCATTCAGTTTCCCGAGCGACTTTGCCATCCGTGTGCTCGAATTCTTGCTTTGGCGGAGCTGAATCAATGATTATGAATCCTCATGGCCATTTCACATTTCCAAGTGTTCCTTCCCTATCTACTGTAAGGCTGAGCTAGGACTCTGCCAAGGCTCGATAAGGTTCGGCGGCCAGGGACCCTTGCACTGAAATTCTAGAAGCCGACTTCGAGCTTCAAGCCTTCAACTCCATTAACCATTCGAGGTTGCTACGCTCACGCTCACGACCGTCAAGATGTCGAGTCGCACTGCCTTCCCACCTATGCGCGTTCATAAAACCAAGCGAATTTCTACAAAGCAGGCGCAACCCATCATCGCGGCATATATTGAGCGCTCAAAAAAGAAGCCATCACTACACCCGGACGCCTGGCTCGCGACAGATGGCATACGCTTCGGCCCAAAAGGCGGTCCTAGCGGCGGCTGGGCAATCCACCATCTGAAGCGCATTGAGGCAGGAATGCGCGGAGAAAGCTTAATGCCGGAAAGTAAGGACGAACTCGTTGCGCGCTTCGGCGAGGAAGAGGCTGCCACGCACTCCACATCTGCCGCCGTACCCTCAGACGATACACGACTCGACGAGACGATCGAGCAAACCAACGGCGCCATCGACAAGGCAGCACGGAAAGCAGCAAAGAAGGCGCGACGCTTAGAAGAGAGGAAAGACGGCGGCAATCGCAAGAGGCAGAAAAAGAACCACGAAATCGACGCATGGGCAAGCGACTCCGCAGCGGCTGGCGCTTCCGACCACGAGCAGCCGTCTGGCTATATCACGCCATATCAAGACAGCCTAGTCGCCTACGAAGAGCGGAGAGACCCGGCAGAGCTCGATGAAGGTCCGGATGCACAGCCTCGAGAAGAGTATGAACAACAGCAGGAAATCGTGGAAGGAGAAGTGGGCAAACGTGCTGGAGCACCTGTGTCGAAGCATAATGGCAAATTACCACCAATCATGAGGCATAGGAAGGATGCAGAAGTCGAGGTACCGCAGAAGGCCAGGACTGAGGAAGAGAAAGCTGCGAGGAAGGCGGCGAAGAAGGCTAAGAGGACAGAGGACAGATCCGCGAAAGCGCAGGATGACTAGGAACCGACTCCGCAGACGCACGGTGGAACCATCACCAAGGATTTGAACTCAGTAGCTCAGTCAGGCACTAATGTGGAGAAAGATGAGAGGCAGGTGAAGAAGGGGAGCAATTACTCAGGTGTTGCCGCTTCTGACCGCCCATCGCAAGCTGGGCGAATGGTCGAGCGGACGGAGTATAAAGCTCGGATTGGGATTTGTGAAGCGGCCGGCTGCAACAAGAATATCATGCAGAACATCGAGGAGAATCTCTGCTTCCACCACTATGATCCCAAACGGTTTGGCCAGCCGCGGCCTCGAGGCCAATGCGAAGTTGAAGGTTGTGACGGCGACATTCAATCTCGTAGCTGGGATGGCATGGAGCTCTGCAATTCCCATGCGCGCCGCAAGTACAGGACTGGCAACGTGTACAACCAGCAAGGAAGCGCGGTCATTCGTCGTAAACCAAGAATGGGATACGCTCCGACCTGAACAGCTCGAAGATAGTTTTGTCGCCGCCTCCTCGCTTCTGGCAGAGAATGAAAATATGAGAATGACTTATTGATAAGTGTCCGGCGTCGTACAACTAGCTACCGTCTCAATGTATAGCAATGGCTTTCGGTGCGATTCACGATTGGCAGCACGAATGAGTAGACTTGGTTGGATCGTGAAGTCGCACAACTAGCTTTTGTCAGTCTCGTAGAGTGGCTTGGCAATACACATGCTCGACATGTCAGGCCTGCTTTAGCGCTGGCGTCAGAGCTTGAGTTAGCTGGGCCGACATGGCTGGCCAGATGACGCGATAGGCGATGCACACCAGCTAGTTGCACGACGCGATCGTCAAATCGGACAGATATGTAAGCGAAGGTGTTACGGAGGCGAACACCGACAAGTCTAGCTGTAAGACCTGATTAGCGATTCGAATACGCCTTCCTCTACCTCTCACTCCATCTCTTCTTATGACTCATGTCAAGTTGCAGAGAAATCTGCGGTTGACCACGCTAAAAGCGGAGTTGACCAACGTCCGTATAGCCGAGTCTGTGCGTGACCGTGTATATAGTTAGCCGCAAATTAGCGCCTACGTATCTACTTTCCTACTAATCGACTAATTCTTTCCCTTCCCTTTCCTTCTACTATACGAATGCCCGCTTCTTAGACTATACAGATTACGAGCACCGAACAAAACTACTATCTAAAGCACCGACTAAAGCTATAGAGACTCTATTAACCTTTCTTCCCTATATATAGGAAGATTATAAACATAAATATTCTAATAAGCTTATCTCGCATACCGAGTCTATTAACGAGCGCGTATATATAAGCATATAGATATATATACCCTTTAGCTTACCGAGATATAGGCCTCTAATATCTTTACGTTAGGAATACTTGCGGAAGAAGATCGCATCGCCTTAGAGACTATAGAAGACAAGTAGCTAGAAAGCAACATTATAGGCTTAGCTATAGCTAATAGTATACCTATACTTTCTAATAAGACTTAGCTACTTCCTCGACCCGGGCCTACCCTTATTACAAATGCTATATATACCCCGCTTTCTATCAAGCATATCGAATATATTGCTACGATACTAGAATACCTAAGTAGTTATAACTATAGCTATATATATATCGTTCTACTTGCGGATTACTATAACTATACCGATCTTATCTTAGAGAACGTTATAAAGATTCTAGCCGTTCTTGAATATAGAGTATATATAGGCGTGTATATTGTTATATATATGCTAATATATATTAGATGCAATATAGGGCAAGGCAGCCCTATTCCCCGAAGGAAACTAAAGCGTCGTACTTTAATAGCGTATCCTGTATTTAGGTACGGAAGAATTGTAGCGGTGTTAAGATATGTTAATATGCTTGCTTATATCTCCGGGAGGGCGCTGCGTACTATCGCCTTACGGACGAGTACCTAAACTAGAGGGTTAATTCTATACCTCCGCTCGTAAGGATATTCGTACTAAGAGGAGAAGAGACGCAATACCGGGTAGAGAACTTATATACGTATATATATCCGTAGTTGGATAGTTTACCGAGTACTAATCTACGGGTATAGGCTTTAGTATACAGCATAAGCAAGATTCCGGTCGAGAAAAGCCTGCGACGATTAACGCGAAGATTGTAGTTTAACGTACGAGGAGGCAGAGACGCCTATAAGTAATTAGTTATATATATAGGCATATCTATAGCTAACTGTATAGACGCTAGCTGGTTATTACTAGTACTCACTCGTATATACCAACTACTATGCATACCTACGACTATTATACTTCCGCTAAGTTATTCTAAAAGAAGGGAAATAGTTAATCGATATACTTAAGGACTTCTTCTAAAATCTACTAGCAGGTCCGACTAACGTTTATACGGTTGTTAAGCCGATAAAGGTGGTTTATACGACATGCCGTAGGTACGTCTAGACCTATAGGCATAGATTAGCTAATACCGCGTAGAAGTCGATTACCTATAAGGGCAGGGCAAGCTCGTTACGTAAGAGTATAAGGTCAAGTTCGATTTCATCGTCCCGCGCGATCCTATAAGGACGCCCTATATAATAATCGTATCTCGGGGCAAATATACGCATATACTACCCCCTCCGACGAAAGTCCCTGCTCTTATCGAGGAAGAGCTAAAGGAATTAATTAAGAAGTGCATTTCGCCGGACCTAACAACGGGTATATATATAGCTATACCTATAGACTTCCGCTTACGTAGTCCTTAGCCCGATTCTAGGTCTATCCGATATTGTAGCAGTTCCTTAATAAAAAAGGGGTACTATTACTTGCTAAGCTCTATATTGCTTTGAACAATACTTCGCGCTTAACCGCGATAATAGTAAAGCTTAAGTATACGGAGTATAGTTACCTTCGCGATATTAACGTAGTAGAATGGGTATACAAACAGCAGAAACTCAACCCGAAGACTATACGTCCTTATCTATAGCTATAGATACTAACATACGCTAATTTAGTAGTAATATATCTAAGACGTATATATCTCCCCTATAGGCATATAGACAGTGGTATGCTTTTATAGGGAACAAGCAGAGATCTTTACGTCTCTCTAGTTATTCGACGTCGATATGTCCTATAAACGTATCGTAGGATCTAATATAAACGAGGTTATCTTTGCGGTTAAGTTAGGTTAGAATGGAAAGCGTATATATAGGCTAACCTATAGCTATATACCTACTAACAAGATAGTCTTTACCTTAGCTCGGGTTATCTGCAACGAGAAGAATACTAATCGGATATATTATCTCGTATAGAAGCGCCTATTTACGACCTTAGCGGCTGTCGTAGGTGTAGGCAGATGTAGGTAGGCACATATCTACGGGGATACGGACGGGTAGCACTGTGTCGCAGTCGATTAGCTCGGGTGCTAATATGCTAGTATCTATGCCCTAGCCTATGCCCGTACCTATGCTAACCTATAGGCCTTAGTCTCTACCTATACGAAATCGACCCCCTCTATACGGCGGAGTATTACCTACAGTATATACTTATGCTCTGTCGTATATACTTCATTAGGAACGTAGACAAGGTTATAAGCAAATAGCGTAGTAGGGTTACTATAAAAGAGCGAGAAGATATACTATCCCTTATCGACGCTCCGAGTAGGCAGGAGTACTATACGATTATCGGCATCCTCTAACGTACGTCTATATATATAGCTATAGACATTCGCTAATATATGTAGGGTCCCGGAACAAAGATCTCCGTAACTAGGCGACGAATAAGAAAAACGATGTTATTGCAGCCGCGCTTAACCCCGAGTATACGCTTATAAACAAGGATATATATAGAAGCAGACGGGCGGATACAAATGCTAACGAACAGACGGGATATAAGTTATACTTATTCGGAACCGACCTACCTTTAATAATAGGTATTTCTAGAGCTACGACTATAGATATGCGCGATATCGATTAGTTCTAGGGTTGGACCGACTACCGCGTAAAGCATACGTTAGTAAATGTCTCTATCTAGTCTAGATACGAGAGGGCACTATAGAAGCAAGGTAAGAGCTACCTATTAGCAGATTTATGCCCGTACTAATAGCCGTAGTTATAAAGAAGACTAGATATAAACAGGAAAAGGCTATAAGGCTAGCGTACTAAGAGCAGGCCTCTAGCAATCTCTATAAGCATAGGAGTAACAGTAAGGATAAGCGTACTACTAGGGTCAATAATGCGCATCGCGCCGCTAGAGCTTAGGTTAGAACAATTCCTACCCGGAGGACCCTCCTAGAATAGGAAACACGTTTACAATTACGGGATATCGAGCCTAGCCTACCGCTATATCTACGACCGTTATAACGCCTAACCGGAAGTCTAAGCCCTACGCCCGCCCTACGACCGTTACTGTTAGGACTAAAGAGGTTACACGTGATTGGTATATAACCGGGCTCGAGTGAAGCTAGGGTCTCGATGCCTTAGGTAGGGCTTAGCGCTTAGCGTTAGGCCAACTTGCCTGCCTTCCTCCCTCTCCTCTTAGATCTCTATCGAATACTACACTAATTCACTACTACCCTATCTACCTGCTAATATACCCTTCTTATATAGTATTCGATCCACCCTTTAAGGGCAGCAGCTAGATAGTCCTTATTTCAAGCTTTTAGCGGTGTAGCTACGAAAACCATCGATTTGACTATATTACGCCCGAAGAACGGGACCTATACATACTATTCTATCGAAACAACCGTACCAATTATCAAGCAAGGCCTTCTATACGGCCTATTACACTAAGTTAAGCATACTAAGCCGATATCTACTAATTCCGCCACATCCGCATCTTAGGGGCTAATAATATATTATTAGTGTCGCCCCTTACAATAGCCGGTTTATTACGAAACAACAACCGTACTGCCGCTAGCAGCGCCGGCAACGATAACGCTAGCAGCATAGTGCCTGCTAAAGCGCCTCCTACTAAAGTGCCTACTAAAGTGCCTCCTACTAAGGTGCCTGCTAAAGAACCTGCTGCTAGGCCTGCCGAAGAACCTGTAGTTCTAGGTAACGACCTAGAGTTGCCTATTAACGACATACTTAACAACATTGTTAATCGACGATATAGCTAACTAGCCTTTGGCCCCTAGCTAGTAGCGAGACTTCAAGAAGCTACCTAAAACAGGCTTACTACCTTGCGTTAAGAATAACAGTTAAAGGATAATCTCCTCGAGATTCGCCGCCTATAGGAAGCCTTAACAACTACTGCTAGACTAGAACTAACAGTAGGACCTTCCTCGCTACCTGTCTAGAAGAAGGATGCTAAACTCAAGGACTGTACCGTATTTAATAGCTCTAGCCGCAAGCAGTACAATGATTATATACGTAATTGTGAGTTGAACTAGCGCAATGCACTAAGGGCGCTACTAGACGACTATTCCTTAGTCGTATACGCTATGCAGTACATTAATAGCGACCTAAAACGTACATAGGATAACTATTTTGATTCCCTTTACGACTAGACCGCTGTTCAATAGCAGGATTATAAGACTATTATGCTAAACACCCTTAGCAACCCTATATTGCGCTAGCAGCACGCCTAAGACCAATACCTACGTGCTAAGCAAAAGGCCGACCAAACCTCTCGATCCTTCGAGGCCTATCTAAAGACCCTTAAGGACGATTTGCTACCTAAGACCGACTCTATCTGGATATCTGAGATACGACCTAAACTAAGATAGGAACTAGTCCTTGAATTGGACCGCCGCCGTGTGTTCGAATAGGCTAATCTTATACGTATTCAATTTATAGTTAAAGTAGAGACTATAGAGCGTGCAGTACAGCTATAGCAACGGTTAGAATCTAAGATACGACTATCTACTAACCGTAGCCGCGGTAGAAACTAAGGAGGTACTCCCTAAACTAACACTGCTAACAATAGAAATAGTAACGACTAACGTAGAAGAGGTAGGGGCCGATACCGCGGTAGAAACCTCTAGCGAGGAAGAGGACAAGGAAGGGGCTTATTTCTATATACCCCTAATCGTTTATCCAATTCTAGCACTAATTCGAGCGGACCTAGCGGTGCCCTAACTAGATATAAGTGCTTCAATTGTAATAGCACCACTTATTTACTAGGCTAATGTAATAGGCCTCGAGACTAGGCCCGAGTCGATCGTACTGCCGCTAAGCACCGAAAGCACCTTTTAGTAGCCAACGCTACCCCTGTAGGCTAACCTTCGAAAAAAGAATAAGCGCCGCACCAACTGTTAGCCTTGTGCGGCGTAAGACTATCGACATTGTACTAGCTATTATACGCACCTGTCTCGTATCGGATACACATAGAACTAACTATAAGACTAAGGTTATACTAGATCTAGGAAATTCAGTTAGTGCCCTTATTAGCTATCGCCTAGCTAAGCAATTAGACCTTCGACAACTGCCTAGGACTAACCTGCTAACCCTTGCTTAGTTTAATAACGCTCGGCACTTAACCTACGGAGCCTACTATATCTATATAGCCCTAAGAGACGACCTCGGCAATGAACGCCTACTAAACTTTACTACCTACGCAGTAGACATAGACAGCCTCCTATCTAACATTATTATTAGCAACCCTGTTCTTAAGTACTATGCTATAGTTATAGACTTAGGCAGTTAACAATAGCGATTTGGAATCGCTAGGAAAGAGGACATTAAACACATCGATATTAGCGAGTGTCCTAATAATATTAGGGTCCTGTTTATTAGCAACCTAACTCCCGCCTCCGCTAATCTAACTGCCGACCTGCTCGGTAGTAATAACGATGAACTAGTGCCCCCTAATAGCATAGATCCTAAACAGCTTGAGCGCATACTAGAACCTATTCGAGAGACCTACATTAATGTATTCAAACACCACTTAGCATCGACATTACCTATGTTTAAAGAGACGGATTATAAGATTGATATTATAGAGGGCAAAGAGGTCCCTTTTGGACCCCTCTATAACCTTAGTGAACGAGAGCTTGCTGTGTTGCGTAAGTACCTAGAGGAAAACCTAGCTAATAGCCGGATACGGTATAGTAACAGCCCTACTAGTGCCCCTATCCTGTTCGTACTAAAGAAGGATAGTAGCCTGCGCCTCTGTATCGATTATCGTAGGCTTAATGCTGTTACTATCAAAGATCGCTGTCCACTTCCTCTTATTAATAAGACCCTCGATCGCCTTTCTAGTGCCTACTTCTATACTACACTAGACATTAAGGATGCGTACTATCGTATCCGCATTCGTAAGGGTGACGAATAGAAAACAGCCTTCCGTACTCGCTATAGCTATTTCGAGTACTTGGTTATGCTATTCGGCTTAGCTAACGCCCCCGTAACATTCTAGTCCTATATTAATCGGGCCCTTTCGGGCCTATTAGACTATCTCTGTATAGTTTACCTAGATAACATCCTAGTTTACACACACTTACCTGACATTGCGGAGCACTAGGCTATAGTCCGTAAGGTACTCGATCGCCTACGAGCCTATAGACTATATTGCAAGCCTTCTAAATGTACCTTTGCTGCTAAGGAGGTGTTATTCCTTAGCTTCCTTATTTCAACCGAGGGTGTTAAGGCTAATCCTAATCGGATCAAAACCATTACTAAATGGCCTGTTCCTACGTCTATTAAGGAGCTTTAATCGTTCCTCGGTTTCGCTAATTTCTACCGCCGCTTTATTAAGAGCTATTTACGGTATGTAATGCCCCTAACTGAGCTTACTAAAACCAAGGCCAACCTAACTAGAGAGTTCAAATAGACTAATAGAGCACAAGCCGCTTTTAACGGCCTAAAGCAACGCTTTACTAATGTCCCCTTACTACACTATTTTATACTAAGCAAGTAGATCCGTATTGAGACTGACGCTTTACAGTTCGCTATATCGGCTATTATATCCTAGCAATCAGATGAGGACTATTACTAGCACCTAATTGCCTTCTTTTTACGAAAGATAATCGATGTAGAGCGTCGCTACGAGACCTACGAGCAAGAGCTCTTAGCTATTATCGAGGCCTTTAAGCATTAGAGGCATTACCTCGATAGGGCCTAACATACGATATAGGTCTATATAGACTATAACAACCTCCGTAGCATTACTAAGGTTACTAGAGTTATAGGTCGACAGGCTAGATAGGCCGTCTACCTCGCTAGGTTTGATTTTGATGTATTATATCGGCTAGGCGTAAGCAACCCTACTAATAGCCTATCGAGGCGACCTAATTACGACAGCGGGACTTAGCAATCTATTAATTTATTGTTTCTAACCCTGTAGTATAAGATTGCTATAGCCCGTATTATTAATAAGCACGCGCAGGATAAGCGGCTTACCGGACTCCGCGACGGCTTGAAGCATATTAATGCTCTTACTATATTAATAGTGCGTATTAAGGCAAGAGCCAAGGACATAGATAGGAGAAGTTATAATAACTCCCTAGTCGATATCGCTATATATAGTAATAGCGATTAAAGCACTAATACAGTTAATCCGGCTACTAGTGCTATTAGATGCATATAATGCGTACCTCGTTTAATAGCGAGGGTGCTGTTAAATAACCTTGTAAATAGGGATAGTTAATCGTTTATAGATAAGCTATTACAGGCTTAGTAGAGGGACGCCTTTGCTGCTAAACGTATAGACAAGCTTGTGAGTAGGCGAAAGACTCGATCTAGCAAGAGTAACAACTAGTCGATCGATAACAAAGGTTATTTGAAGTTTAAGGGCAGATACTATGTCCCCGCTAAACATTCGATCCGACAAGAGCTTCTTAAGCGACACTATAATAGTAAGCTTGCTAGTTACTATAGCATAGAGAGGTCGCACGAGCTACTATCGCGCATATACTACTAGCTAAATAGTAAGCGGGATATAAAGGACTACGTAAACACATGCGCCGTATATCAACGTATTAAGGCACTAAAGCATTAGCCTTTTAGCGAGTTGTCCTTATTACCAATCCCTTATAAGCCATTTATAGAGCTTACAATGGATTTTATTACAGGTCTTCCCCCTGCTAAGCGAAGAGGAAGCAAAGACATCTTTAACGCTATCCTAGTCGTTATAGACCGATTTACTAAGGGCGCTCGATACATCCCGGCGCGGAAAGATTAGACTGCTATTGATATAGCAGAAGCGCTGTAGAACAACATCTTCTATACCTATTAGGGGACCCCTAAAGGGATAGTCTCTAACCGAGGCTCGATATTTACATCTTATTATTAGAGTAAGATTTGCCTGTAGCTAAGACTCAAGCATCGCCTATCTATAGCATTCTATCTATAAACAGATAGTCAAACCGAAAGGCAGAATGCTACGCTATAGCAGTACCTGCGCAGCTACATTAATAAGAACCCTAATAACTGGGTTAATCTCCTATAGCCTGCAGAATTCGTGTACAACAATAGTGTACACTCATCTACCAAGGTTTTACTATATATAGCTATAATAGGCCAGAACGCCGCCTTACTATAAGACCTATTTACCTCGCTCGAGGCCGAGCGCAAGGAAAGAGAAGCGCGTTAAGTGCTGGTACCTGAGACGCTAGCGGCTGTTGAGAGGGTTTAAAAGATGCGAGAAATTCACGCTATAATAGCTAACAAACTAGCAAAGGCCTAGGCCTATTAGAAGGCCTACTATAACAAACACTATACGCTAATGACCTTCAAACAAGGCGATATAGTTATGCTTAGTACGAAGAACCTCCGCATCCGCAAACACCTATTACCTAATAGCAAAACACGCCCTAAACTAGCACTAAGGTACATTAGTCCATTCCGCATTCGAGAAGTTAAGGGCTCCTCCGCATAGGCCTATTAGTTGTAGCTTCCTCCTTATTACACTATCTATAACACCTTCTATGTATCCCTCCTTAAGCTGTATTGCCTGCGCGAGGGGGATAAAGCCCCTACTAAATACGAAGACATACTAGCGGATAGTAAAGAGCTGTAGTCTGTAGAACGTATCCTATAGCACCGGACTAGGAAAGGCAAGAAGGAGTACCTATTAAGATAGTAAGGCTATTTACCTAAATAGGACTCGTAGGAGGCTAAAGACTCGTTTAAGGACATAACTGAGTTATTAGATGAGTATTGGACTAGCGTAAAGAACACGAAGAAGGCCAAGAGCTTATAATGCCTATAATGTTACTATTAAGGCCTAGGATCAATGCTACCCCTAGGGTGCTATTAGCTAACTAATTAGAGGCAAGCAATTGTTAGCAACAAAGGACAATAAGACTACACTATTATAGAATCTACCTCTTCACTAGCGCACCCTATAAGACCCTTCTCTTAGCGCCCCTCTTGTTCCTTTATTCTGTCGAGGCCCTAAGGCCTAAGCGATCGATAGGGGCGTACGCGCGTACGAATAACGGTAATAAAGACGATGGCGTCGCGCTACGAGCTAGCGAAGGACGGCGCGGCCGGCGCGGCTATATTAGTAACAGTGTTGCGGAGTGTATTGCTATTTAAGAAAGGAAGGACACCGCTATATTAGTAACGGTATTGCCGAGTTATTGTTGGTTAAAGGAGGTAAAGTTAGCGCTAAGACGACTAGCGCTGCCATTATTAACATTACTTGCTGTTGTCGCTGCGCCTATAGACACAACCTTACCTATACTACGAGCCTAAGGCACCTTTAATTAAAACTTTGATCAAAACTTTGATCAAAACTTTAAGCCGCTTAAAAGATTGAGCGACTAATAGACTAACTAACTAAGGGCAAAACTATAGAGCTAAGCTAGCCGGGGTCGATCTTGCGGACAATAGGTTACTCCTCGATCTTTCCGACCCTTTAAGCGAGGCGAACCTCTACTACTATACTTACAATGGCCTTTACCTATAGAAACTAGACGAGCTGTGTTTTTTAAAAAGATATAATTAGCTAACACTTAAAGGCTGCTAAACCTAACTAATTAGGGCTAGCGAAACCACGAATAGTAATAGTCCTCGTAACAATAAGAACAACCCTCGGAACGGATAAACCCTCGGAGCGGACATTTCTAGGTCTTTTAGAGTAGACGCAAAGAACTCGGAACGACATTACTTAGAGCGGAGGTAGGGCTGCAATACCTCGTACGTCTACCTATTATAGCAGGGAAGACGCGCTCGTATTGTGATTGGTCGATAGCCCTCAATTCTTATAGCTTTATATCCCTTCACTTTATTATATATAAGGATAGCGCAGTTAGAGTTATACATTGTATTATTCGGAGGTAAGGTTTAACATAGTTACATAATCGGTAGTTGTGCGTTCAATTTAGCGCGGACTAAGCGGCTTATTAGACCTGCTAAGTTAGTAGTAACGGAGATTGAGATTAGAACAAAGACCGGCCACGAGGGCGCGGCCTTTAGAAAGGAAGCGTATATTAGGACTAAAGAGGTTATATATGATTAGCATATGACCGGGCTCGAGTGAAGCTAGGGTCTCGATGCCTTAGGCAGGGCTTGGCGCTTAGCGTTAGGCTAACTTGCCTACCTTCCTCCCTCTTCTCTTAGATCTCTATCGAATACTACACTAATTCACTACCACCCTATCTACCTGCTAATATACCCTTCTCACAGTTACAACGCCTAAGCCTACTACCCGGGATTCGCCTATATATAATCCCTATCCGGGATCCTGAACTAGAGGTTACTAGCCGGCGACGAAAGCGAGCGAGTACGGAAAGTATGCCTCTACCTTTACGCGTTCCTATGCCTAGAGAAAGGGGAAACTAGAGATTAGTTACTAATACCGCGACATTAGGACCTAGCTGTATTGGAACGCCTATAGGTACGCCTATAGATATGTCTCGAGACGGGATTCAACTTCAAGATTAAACCCGAATTGTCCCTAGCTATAACTAGCCGATAATTAGACAGCTAATACAGCTACTAACAATGCCGCTAATACAGCTACTAATAGGACAGCCAATGCAGCTACCGATAGGACAGCTAATACAGCTACCGATAGGACAGCTAATGCAGCTACCGATAGGACAGCTAATGCAGCTACCGATAGGACAGCTAATACAGCTACCGATAGGATAGCCAATGCAGCTACCGATAGGACAGCCAATGCAGCTACCGATAGGACAGCCAATGTAGCCACCGATAGGACAGCTAATGCAGCCCCTAATAGGACAGCCAATGCAGCTACCGATAGGACAGCCAATGCAGCTACCGATAGGACAGCCAATATAGCCCCTAATAGCTATACCAATAGCCGCGACAATGCCTTCCTTAATGCCTCCGGTTATACAACCTACCTTAATATATCCGCTAATACTAGCAGAGATCGCTAGTTTATAGGCAGAGTATCTACGGGCGCAGCTACAGGTATACGACGAGATAGCTCGCTAGTTAAGAGAGGGTCGGAGATAGCTATATATATAGGTTGTATTAACATCTTTTTAGCATATATTACGTATATAGACATAGTCGAGCACATATATATAGGC